AGGCAAGAATCCTTTGATAGAAATCAATATTAGTCATTGTAATATTGATAATTCATAATTATCAATGATTTTGCCTAATTTAAAAAATCTGAAATCTCTTAAAAGACTGAAAATGAGTCTTATGAAATTAAGTTCAGAATCATTGTTAGCACTTTCATCTGCTATGTTACATTATACAGGCAAGAAATCATTAGATTATATTGATCTTTCATTTTGTTAAATAAAGAATCATGGATTAGAATTGCTTAGTAAATCTCTTTATTTATCAGTAATAACATCAATTAATATAAAATCTATAAATTTGTCAGGTAATAATATAAATTAAGATGGTGTTGTACATTTGGAATAGATCTTACTTAAATTAAATATTGAAGAATTAAATTTATCAAGAAATAAAATCTAAGAATTTTAGAATTAATAGGTTCTCAATAAATCATTAGTAAGAGTTGATCTATCAAGTAATTTATTTGAAGAAATTCCTAATAACTTTTTTCTAAATGTGTTATCAATTAATCTCTCAAACAATTAGATAAATACTTAAGGAGCTTATCAAATATCTCAAGTATTATCATATAAAAAAGTTTAATGGATGGATCTGAATATTAATAATAATTCTATAAAAACTAGAGGTTTTATATCTTTAATTTATGCCTTGATTGAAAATAAATCATTATAAAATTTATCAGTTGCAAATAATAATATAAATGGTGAAGGGATATTAGTGTATATATTTAATCATGAACAATTGAATCTATAATATTTAGATTTATCTCATAATTACTTAAGGTATGATTTAGTTTATGCATTAATATCAATGATGAAAGAATGTAAATTAAGAACATTAGTTTTATCATAATTAAGATAAGATGGGAATGAAATTCATAGTGGTAAAAATGAATTATTTGAAATAAAATGTGCAAATTTGAGAGAACTTGATTTTTCATGTAATCCTTAAATCATAATGCCTATTTTAAAGAGTCTTTCATAATAATATAATCGTTTGGAATATTTAAATTTAAATAATTGTTAATTAATTAGAAAATCAGATACATCACTTAAAAAATAATCAGATACTATGACAATAGATTTAAGAAGATCTGGAGATGCAAAATTTTTAAATTTAGATGATCCTATTATTGTAGATTAGATTGAATAAAAGAATTAATAATAATAGAACAATTAAGTATTGGAATGCATTTATTCTTTATTATCTAAGACTTATACATTATAAACTTTATGTTTAGCAAATAATAATATACATTTTTTAAATGAAAATGAATTGAAATAATTGGAGAGTTGTTTTGCTAATAATTTTACATTACTTTCATTAGATTTATCTAATAATAAATTAAAATCAAAAATAGTATTTTTAGTAAATGGATTAAAAAATTGTGGATCTTTACGTTATTTGAATATAAGTAATAATTAAATTGAAGAAGATTATGAAGTAATTATAAAATTACCAGAAATTTTTAAGAATCCAAGTTTATAATATATTGATTTATCATTAAATTCTATTCATAGTGCTACATTTTAAAATATGAAAAAAATATTATTAAGATAATATAAGTAATTTCCATAGATGAATTTAAGTTAATTGAAATTAACAGCAGATGATCTTGTTAGTATAAGTGAAATAATACGTGAATCTTATTCAATTAGAAAATTAGAATTATTTGGGAATTAATCTATTGATTATTTAAATAATGTACATGTTTATGGAGATAATAATAAAGTTGAAAGTCTATCTATAAATAGATTAAAATTAAGAAGAGATATATTTGAGAATTTATTATAAATATTAATGTAAAATTAAAAATGGATGAGAATAATAGAAATATCTAATACATTATTAAAAAATTATCAATTAAAGAAATTATTAGAACAACTTAAATAGATGCATTCATTAAAAGCACTTATAATGGATAATTAATATTTTGATAGAAAGGAAGTAATTGATTCTTTAAAAGATTTATTTGGATCATTAAAGAAATTGAAAACTTTATCAATAAGAAAATCAACTCTTTCTGTTGAATTTTTTGAATTTCTTTTTCAATTATTATTAAATTCAAAGAATTTAGAAGAATTAGATCTTAGTAGTAATTAAAGTAATGATTATGAACGTAAATGTTTAATCTCTAAATAATGCATTGAATTATTATCATTAGGCATTTAAAATAATTAAACTTTAAAGAATCTTAATCTATCTAAATGTTAATTAGATGATGAAGTAATTTAAATTTTTATTGATACATTACCATTAAATAACTCTTTAATATAATTAGATATTAGTGAATGCAATTTAACTAAACTAACTTTTTTAAGATTTAAGTAAAATTTTAAATAAATTCCATCATTATTACAAAAATTATGTTGTTAATTAATGATTGATGAAGTTCCAAATAATCTTGTTAATAGCTAATGTCTTTCTAATTTATTCTATCTTGACATTTCAAAAAATAAATAAAAAAATAGAAGTATTGTTAAATTAGTATAATGTTGTTAACCTAATAATGTATTCTAAAATCTCTTTTTCCTTAATTTAGAATAATGTCATCTTAATGATCATCATTGTAAAGCTTTAAGTAAATTGATTGTAACTAATTTAAAAGAATTACATTTAAGTTAAAATCAAATTACTCATATTGGATTTAAAGAAATATTTGATCCAATTTTAGATGGATAATCAAAACTTAAAGCATTAAATTTATCCAAAAATAAAATTACAGATGAATATTTTTGTTAACTTGAATATAGAGAACTTAATAGAACAATTAATTCATTAGAATTATTATCATTAGATGGTAATTAATGTTATGGAAGAGGATGCAAAGGATTTATTAAATTATTAGAAAGGAATCCAAAATTATATATTTTTAATCATTGGTTAAACATTACAGATTAATTAGCTTATTTAGTAATTTAATCTTATATTTAATTTACTTCACTTTATAATTTAAAATATGGATAACATAATTATATATAATAATTGATAATTAAAGAAAGTGATTTCTCAGATGATTTCTTAATTTGGTTTGGTTATAATTATTTCTAATTACCACATTTGTAATATATTGATTTCTCTGGAAATTCAAGATTTTGTACGAGTATGGGAAAAATGCATATGTATATTAATATGATCAATAATCAAGTTAATTATAATTTACTTTAAGTAAAATTTGATGAAGTAGAACAATAAACTTTAACTATGTTTGATGATGGATTAATAAGATACCATCTTTTAAAATAGAAATTTCGATTCTAAAATTATACAATTATGTAAAGTAGTTATGGAATTAATGATTAAAATATTGAAACTATAAAATGGGGATTTATTGGAAAATTCATAATACATATAATAAATAAATTACTTTATGTATTTTAAGGATCATTAACAGAATTTAGAATGAGTAGTTAATTATAAAAACATTTAAGAAGATAAATGAATAGAATGAAAATATTCTACATTATAGGTTGTCTAGTAGAACCAATATTTTTAATCTTAGCCATTCTAACTGTATTTATGATATAGATTCCTCTTTCTTAAAAGGATTTGAGAAATCATCATTATTGCAAAGATCAATATTGTTTTATAAATGATGTTAAGATTCTCACTTTTACATTATTTATTGTAGATATTCTTGTAATTGTTATGTGTAGTGTAACAAATTTAATTATTGCAATTAAATTAAGAATTAATTCAGAACCTGATTTTTATATTTTGACATATGAATAAAAAAAGGAATTAAAAAGGAAATTTCCAATAAAAAAAGAATTACTTCTATTATTACTTTAAATAATTCTATAATGTAAGTATGTATTTGATATTTTAATAATATCATCTAGTTTATATCTTTCAGGTTATATAGAAAAATATGAAAATGAAACCTTTTAATAAATACGTAACAATTTCTTAGCAACTGCCTACATGATGTCTATAATGATTGTAATAAAATTCACCATCTTTTGTTATTAAGATGTGAAATGCACAATTCAATTTTTTAAACATCCTAATAAAGATGCTTCTTTTCTCTTTTCCAATCTTTGGATTAAGAGTATCTATGATACCAATATTTTAGTTGAGAATGTAGTAAGTAATTTCTGTCCATAAGCAGGTATTAAAATAATGAATAGTCTATTTAATTTGAAATAGATTTATCAACTTACTTAATTGTTTGTTATAGAATTACCTATCTTCTTCATTTATCTATTCTTTTTTAATAATTATCAACAAATGTGTTCTAATATGGGTTATCAAACAGTAATCACAGTAACTATAATATTTTAAGTAATTGGAATGATACGTAATGCAATTAAAGGTTTATGTAATGCATATTGGGCACTTGTTTCAAGACCTCCTATAGTGAAATGGTTTGATATAAATGAATTTTTATTATTAAGAAGATATAAACATTTAGGAGAGAAGAGATTAATAACTTAATTAACACCTAAATAAAAGAAATAACTTAATAATAGTAAGAATATGTTGATGAAGAAAAAGTAAATGTAAAATTAACATGTAACTTAAAAATCGAGAAGTGAAAGAATAATTGATAAAATTAAAACATCCAGAAGAACAAGTGAAGAAAACGAAGAAGAAGGTAAATTATATTGTTTTAATAAATAGGAGATTTCTTAGTTAAAAAAAATCAAATGACAACAGAAAATATGTATTTAGGAACTCTAAATATAAAAATGAAATCTGATTGATTGTTCTATTAAACAAGACTTTAGATATTATAAATAATGATTTGTTTATGATATTAGTTTATTATATATTAGATGTATGTATTAAATATAATTAAAATATTATAATTCTAATTTAATCTAATGACTTTTCTAATTAGATTTCATAAATCTATTAAATCAATTATTAGAATATACAAGAATGCTTATAAATTATATTTGCAACTAATTTTAATTCGTTTTTATGATTTTAAAAATATTTGTATTAATAAGTTTAGATGAAGTAAATTAAAAATAGTAATTTTTATATATGCATGAATACTCTAATTAAATCAATAGTAGGTAAATTCTCGACAGTTGCATTACATGCTACTCTCCCTTTTACAGGATACAAATACGATGACATTGATTCCTCCAGAAGTTATCGATTGCGATCTTTACTATCTGAAATTTGGGACAACAGAATTGATGAAGGATTTCATATGGCTTACGAGTATTTAATATATTATAATTTATTAGACAATTCATTTAAGCACTTAATGAAAAGGATTACAAATTCATCTCAACTATAGCTAATGCAAATCTAGAAAGAGCTCTAGAAAAACATAATTTTCAATTGTTGAATCTAAAGAATGGAACAAAAGATATTATCTATTCTGAATTAACGTATAGCATCATTCTATTAATAGATTATCAATAGGTGACAAATCATAATAGTGTGTAAAGATGTCTCTCTTTGACTGTGTTAATTTAAATTTATATGGTAATGATCATGAACGATCTGAAATTGAAAAGTATATTCTTATAATATTTAGTGTTACTTTACGAATTGAGTGTTACATACTCTCTTAGTTAATGTTGTATCCAACCCCAGAACCTCATTTAGAATCAATTTATCACAGAGTATTTTTATCATTTTTAACATTTAGGTAATATTTGAATTGAAACAGACACAAGCTGCCAATTCTAATCCAGATTTAATTAAAGTATTACTCTTCAATTCAAAGAAAAGAATTAAATACCTCAGAAATCATTTTATTGGTAAATAATATGAATGGCGAATTATGGAAATTGATAATTTAAATTTATGATGAATTATCTATTTAATTATAATTAACTTATACATATTTATATATTTATATATAATCATTATAATTAACTATCTTATGAATTCTACCTCTATTCATTAACATACTATTAATTCTAATCCTCTACTTACTATTCCTCCACCTTTTTTCTTTACTTCTACTTATTGCCCTTATCTAATGATTTAATTTAACAACTTAAATTGGTCGTTTAAAAAAGAGAACTAACATGCCCCTACTTTTACATCTAATTAGTACTCGTCTTAGCTGTAACTCTCTAAGTCATTGGTTGATTTATTCTCTATTATAATTTTCTCATATCATAATCCCATTATATCATTTTTACTTCATATCCTATCATCTAATTTTTAGAATATTTAATTTGAATCTTTGAATCTTTTTAGATTTTGTTGTTTCCAAAAATTGTTAAATTAAACTCTCTATCTTATTTTCGAATCCAATAACTCTTGGTTTTCAATATCTAGCTTTTTTAATCTTCCTTTAAAATAACCTGCTTATTCCATTTTAGATTTCAATGAACTTTATGCTGTCTTATGAAATTCTTTTAATAACACTAGCTCAGTCTACAATTCTTGAACTTACTTTTTCAAAAATTCGATTTCATTCAATCTACCTTTTTTATTCTATTAGATAATCAAAAGTACTGAATTACTATCATTTTAACATAAAAATTAATCCTTCTTTCTTTTTACATGATCAATCTCTTCATCATTATTTTAATCCTTGTTTTCCATTTGCTATTCCAATTTTGATAAATTTCTCATTTATTCCTCATTCATTCTCTTTATTTATACCTTCTCATTTTGATAACTATGTATTTATTCTCTCAAAGTTTCTAATTCTTTATTTTGTTTATTTCTGAGATCTTATAAGGTTTTTTACATCTATTTCTTATCTTCTTCTAAATCTTTTACTTAATTTTATAGTTTATCCTTCTCTAAGTTCATTAAATTATTATTATAAATAAACTTCTCTTTAATCAATTTTATATCATTACAATCCAACTATAACTCTAATCATTTATTCCCATCCAGAATTATTACTATTTTTATGCTATTGATTGACCAACTATTAATTAATTAATTCCAATTCAGCCTTAATAATTATATGCTCATCTTGATGCGACTTAAGTAATTGCTTTAATTATTGATATAACTTATACTTTAAATTCTCTTTCCTTAGTTTTTCACTCGCTTTAGTTTTTTTCAACAAAAATTTTATTTTAGAAATATAGTGAATACCAATTTTATTATAAATTTACTATAATATATATACATTCTAATTAATTCGTGTCTCTAAAGTTTCTACTTTTATTTCTAATTATAATACTTATGTTTATCAACTTTCTAATTCTAATTTAAGAGATTTCATTTTGATATCTTTATCAATCATTAAATTTATTAATATGGGAATAGACATTGTTAACTTCTACAGTAGCTATGGTAGTTATCACAACAATATTGTGTAATATTAGTTTATCTAAATATAGGAACAAAGTCATTCATTTAATTTGTATACCACTTATTTTGTTATCGGCTGTCTAAATTATGAATCATTATTCATTCACAATTGATATAGGATGTTGTTAACTTAACCTTGGTTTGATTATGCTTTTTATCCTTGCTATAGTCTATATAACTGTGGACTTTTTTAGTGGAGTAAGATCTTTATTATATATGATACATTAAAGATTCTTGCTTCCTTATTTTACATAGTAATCACACTTCTACTTAATTAATACTTCATGAATGCAGATGAGATTTAATGGAGTCATCATTTGTGTGTAGCCACCACTTTCTAAGTCACTTGTTGGATTTTGTAGTTCATTGGACATGGAGTATTTGAAAGTAATTCTATTCAAAAATTTTCTAATTTTCCTAGAACGAGCACCTGCCCTTTTAGATAATATTCTATAAATATTTGTGGCTCCTGACTTTGTGTTCTTAGAAGTACTTTTTTCAATGGGTTACAAACCAGAGATTCATAAGGCTTGTAAGAATTAGATTGAAAAAAGTATCAAACAATTCAGAAATGAAAAGAAATAAAAATGATATTATAAAATTAATATTATCAATTATATAATTATTATAACCTTATGATAGGCAAAGAATAAGTTGATATTATTGATTAATATGCTTAAACTATAGTTAATTATGTAGACAATTAATAAAAGAGTATGTTTATATAGTATAATTACAAGTCATTTAATTGAAAACTTAAACTATTTAGAAATTGAATGAGGTGACTATTGTACATTATTAAAAAAATTTGGATAAAATTAATGAAATAAGAGAAGAATTCGAAGAAACCAAAAGTATTTGTAAGTTATATAATATTTTATCAAGAATGCAGAGAATAAATTAGATGAGAATATTTAGAAAATTAATTAAATATAGAATTCTATTGAAGGAATGGAATCATCAGTTGATCATTTGGATACTATTTTGAAAAGGATTGAAACTAAATTAACAGAATTAGAAAAGTTAAAGTAATGATATCTATTTGAAATGTTGTTTAAATATATATATTTATATATTTAATATGCAAAGTGATTTTTAAGAGGAAGTAGTTAAATCAGAATATGTTTAAGCAGAGGATTAATCATTCAAATTTGTTAATATGCCTAGTTATAATCCAGAACAACTTGTTGAAGATCGTCTTAGAGAATCTATTCGATAATCAGCTGCTCAAAGAACAGTTAATCATTAAGATGACCCAACTTCTGTTAAGTTTCATAGACATCAATCATATAATCAATTATAAGCTTGGATGGAATAGGTTGGAATCGATATGTAGTAACACAGATAAATAATTAAAGATGTATTTCGCATATTAGAAAAGAGAATTGCAATTTCAAATAGAAGCATTCAAAATCTCATTCATTTCATTAAGACTTTTGTGTAACATGAAAAATAAAATGTAGAGTATTTAAGAACTAAGAATAATGCTATTAATAAACTATTTCAAGATGGATAAACTTTGTATTACCCTAAATTAGATGAAACAATCAAAGAAATATGTAATTATGATTAAGGTAATGCTATCAAAATCTTGAATCTCTTAGATGGAATTGATAAATTCATAAAAGAGAAATTAGATTTCAACATAGAGATGTTTGAAACTGGTATATCAATTCATAGAGATTAATATCGAAAAGCATTTAGTAATTTTGCCTCTAGTTCTTCTAAACTTACAAAATATCGTAGAAAACATTAAGGATTGTATTTGAGATAGATGTAAGGTGAATCAAAAGGGAAGGATCTCTATCATACTGAACGTAAATTGATTAATTCATTTCTTGAGATGGCTAAATTATAAAAAAATATGGGATAATCTGTAACTAGATTATTTGATGAAGTAAAGAAATAAGAAATTCATAGATATTAAATTGTTATCACATCTCTAAGAATGTATCTTGATAAACATGTTTAATTAAGTTAAAGTAAATAATAATAGATTTCAGCATAAGAAGAATTGATTTATGGAGTATAATTTTTATTTTTATATAGTCTAGCTCATTAATTAATTAGAAGCTGAATAAGTAGTTTAATCATTTGAAGTATTGAATTTTTTAGGATAAGATATTGTAAAAATTATATAGAAGATGCTTGGAAAACAATCTTTGACACTTCCATAATTATAAGAATTTCTTTGTAATTATCCTGATACCTATATTAAATTGGGTAGTGTTCAAGAAAATCATTCCTTAGTTAAATTAAGAATTAAAAATGCTTAAATAGATTGTGGAAATGTTTTGAAAACATGGAAACCTTGTTAAATTATAGCTACAATCGATAACAACATACTTATATACCTAAAAGAGAATAATGAATTCAAAGGTAAATTTTTATGTGATTCCTCATAAATTGTACAAAAGACAAGAGTACCATTAACAGCAGAAATTAAATATACAAAACCTGGTTTTATTTTTGATTCTACAAAAACAGCTCTCTTGTAATTAGAAGCTTAAGATTTTGATGCACTTCATGGTTTGTTATTCAAATAAATTAAATGAATATAATTATCTATATATTTAGTATCTATATTGAATGCTCTTTATGGAATTAATATATATATAATTTAATTTAAACTTTTATAGAATAATAAAAACTAATTTATTATCATTACAATTCAGTTATGAATTATTGAGTTTATCTTTATTCTTATTTCTATTATTCATTTTTTCTCAACTTTTTAAATGTAAAATAAACTAAAAATGGTAGTAAAATAACTTGGAGTACAATAAATATTATTTCTAAAACTCCAATAGATTGTTCATCTTAAATACATAGATTTGTTTTCAGCTATTAGACATATAAATAATTTTCTTAAGTTTAAACATTAAATATCTTATTTTTTAAGAATGGTAATCCTAATATGATAGCATTTTCATATTATTCTTCTGTATAGATCTTTAATACATCTTATCCATTATCTTAATTTATTACATAATTGATGGGATCTATTATTAAAGGATTATCTTGATTGGCATTATTATAGAATAATATAGAATCTAAATCATCTCCTCTATTTGAATGATCTCTATAATAGAATCCATTGGAATCATAGATGAAACCTTTGGATTCAAAATATTTTTTAGGGAAGATTTCTTTAGGTATTGAAATAACATCTTCTGAAACAATATAGACTGGATAAGATGAAATATCATTAACTTTGAAATCAATTTCCATATTTTGAAGATGTAGACTATAGGTTGTATATTATTCTTCCTTTAATCTAGTAAATACACCTTCAGTATTTGAAGACTAAGTGTTTTAAGATATTGAATTGAAATCTGTAATAATATATCCTTCAGTCTCAGATAGACATAAACTAAATCCATTCTAATAAAAGGTGTTTTTGTGATTCTAAAATGGAGCCAGAGCAAGGAAACTAATTGTATTTTAAACATCTTCTAATTATTAGTCAGAATAAATAATAGTTTACTAAATCTTTTCTTCATATTTAATATCATAAAGATAAAAGATTTCTTTTTCTAGCTTTACTTTTTTAGTTTATCCATTTTAATAAACATCTTCATAGCATTCATCCAATTCAAAGTCTGGACATCTATCATTCTATGAATGTCTTTGTAAGAATTCAGATAACACTTCATCTAATTTTAGTTGAACTTATAGATCTGAGTCTAAATTCAAGTACGGTCGTTCATCTATATAGGAAACTGGATACATGGAAGAGACAATATAGAATTATAGAAACAAAAGCATTTATAAATAAAATTAAAAAATTAGAAATGGAAATCCCAACTATAAATTAATTAGATTTAAGTATTGATTAATAGCATATAAATTAAAGTCAACCTTAGAGTAATAAAAATTTAAGAGTTAAACATACTAATGTAAGTATAGGTTCTATTTTATTTAAACAATTCAATATTTGTAGTGTTACATTCCCATTGTCAATTGTGCTTCTGCTCTACTTTTGGATTTTGTATATCTACCAATAAGTTAATGATATACTATTTAGTTGTGTACTCTACAGCTGTGGTGCCAAATTTCGGCCAGATATTTAACACAGAAGTTAATTTTATCGGATGTTAATCTCAATACCTCAATTCGGAGGAATCAGTCACATTATCATAGGGTTCATTACTATTTAAATGTATGGATATATTTCAGAATCAAAGTATGGGAAATTGAAGTACAGCTTTATCTTGTTTTTGGCAGGCTACTCAAGCAATTTGATGAGCTCTCTTATTTATCCTTATAGTTTAACTGTAGGAAGTTATGGAATAGTTTTTGGAGTCCTTACACTCTATGGTTTTATAATAATATAATAGAAATAATTGGGATAATACAAAAAATTGATTATAGGCATATACTTCTTAGTATTTTGTATCAATTTTGTTCCCATTATTTCAATTAATCAAATTGACATTGCATGTATTTTTGGGAGTATCCTTTCTACACTTTTGATGGGAATTTTCTTTCAAAAATTTGATTTTCATCTAGGATATATTATCTCTTATGCTGCTTTAACTTTGTTACTAATTTACTTGATCATTGGTACTACTTTGCTATTCACAATGGAAGTTGACGATATATAAATAAGTAGGTTTTGTTGATTCCAATTTTCATATATATATATATATATAAATTTATATTTATAATACTAACAATGGATACAATTATTCAATATGACAAATCTGAATTTCATGAAACATCATCAGGGATTAAAATATCTAAGAAATCCATAATCAAAGGCACTGAATAAATTAATGTAAGTGGTAGATGCATCTTTTTTAATGATGTTATATTGAGAGGGGATCTTGCCAAAGTATCAATAGGCAAATATTTGGTTGTCCATGAAAAAGTTACACTAAAACCTTCTTATACATATGGTTACACCAAAGAATCACCTACTAAAAAGATCATTAAATTCCTTCCTTTGATGATAAGTGATTATGTAGAAATTGAGTCAAGTTCAATTATATAAGCAACCAAGATTGGTACTTGTACATCAATTGGAAAAAATTGTTATATTGTAATTTTCAATTTGTATTATGCATAGTCACATAGATGTATAATTGGAGAAAACTCTATAATTCTTGATGATTCCATATTACCACCTGATACAGTTGTACCAGCTAATAGTGTATATGGAGGAAGACCAGCAGTCTATATAGCAGAAACACCAGAATCAACTCCTATCATTCAAAAACAAAAATTGATTAATTTTTATAAAAACTTTGTGCCTAAGAGTTGATATTATTATTCTATGCTTATTTATAAATTGCTCAACAACAAGTCTTTTTTTTCTAATTCTTTTACTATTGAGTTTCATCTAATTCTAAACTGATAATTTATTTGGTAGGAGACAGGTTAGGTTCTCCAACCACAATACCTTATAGCTATAAGTGATGGTTAATTTTAATGTTACATGTTTTCCCAAAACAATGACTGCACTGTCAATTCGTTTAATGATTTCAAGGGATAAATCTCTGAAGATTTATTAAACACCTACTCCTGTTAGAGCAGAAACTTCAGCATAGAGGAAACCATGGTCAACAGCGAATTATCTCCCTTGGATGGATGACACTTATCGACTAAAATTAATTGAAGGGGACCTGCATACTCTTGTAAATCAATTTTATTGCAGACGAGTGCAATTACAACATCTTTAATTATTGAAGCTTCTACTCTCATTGCCATTGTCATTCACTTCTTGCACCCATTTTTCGACTCCATTAAATGACTGCATACTAGAACAATCATAACATAGGAACACACCTATAGCAGATCGATAGTATGCACGAATGAGAGATCGAAATGTCTCTTGTCCTGCAGTATCCCATATAGATAGACGTATAATTGTGCCAGAAAGATTGATATCCTTAACACCAAATTCTATTCCAACTGTTGCTTCATGTTCTTGTCTAGGTCGATCATGTAAAAACTACTAAACAAGACAGGATTTCCCAACATCTTTATTAAAATAACAATATTACATGAATCCCCAATTATGATAAACTTGAATAAGTACTTGTATGTTGACATTCACTTTTTCTTATTAATAATTAAATTAATAATAAATTAATCATAAAAAAATCAAATCCTATATTTTATCATAATTATAATCACAATCAGAATGCATTGAATATATTTAAGATGAAATTAATAAGATATAAGAAATAATGTTAAATTTTCAATTTCATTAAGAATTTAAGATGAAGAACTATAAAAATTTCTGATAATGTAAACATAGAGCTAAGTAAATTGTAAATTCTTAAAATTATAATATCATAAATTAAATAGTAATTGCATAAAATAGAAGGGTAATTAGTAGAAATTCATTAAAAGTCAAAGTATAAGACAATATTATAAATCAAGATAAAATTAATATTCAATTTTATGAAAATACTTAAATTAGAGATATTCCTATATCAATAATTATATGTAATTTATACAGAAGCATTATCTAAATTACTACCTATCAAATTCAAATTCAAAGTTAATTAATGATAAATAATTCATCTCTATGTAATCATTCTCACTGTTTAAATTCTTTTAATTTCTTAATGTTTCATTTATTGATATTGCTAATTTATGATGAAAGAATACATTTAATTTCTAATTTAAATTAGAATTATCAATTGTCGATTAAGAACTCTAATTATTTTAAATTAGTAATCTTTATTTAATAAAATATTCTAGTTTTTACTCAAAAGTGTCTTATTGTTTATTACTTTAATATTATTTAATGTATTATTATGAATTACTAATGGATGTGTTAGAATTTAATCTTGGTTTATTTGTAAGATTGAAGAAAGAGATTTAAGAGTGTTTTCTAGAACTGCTATCATTTTATAAACTATTAGTTGTATTCTATTTACGTTTCATTAATTATGAATTTGATTTTAGTTATTAATATAGTTTAATGTATGTTTATTTATTTTAATCAGACTAATGTTCTGAAATTGTCTTTTTCTTTAATAATATAAATTTCTTTTCATGATAATTAGTTATTGCTCTTGTTCTTTAATTAATTGATTAGTCAAATAGAACATCTCTATTGATTTATTGTTGTTGAGGAAATTATTCTTCAAAAGGTTAAAAAAGTGATTGTTATGTAAAATCAACATTTTATTTAGATTGAATATTTTGTAATTTGTTTTTCTCTTTTAATTTACATAATTCTTACGTCAATCTTTAAGTATTGAATTTTGAGAATTCATATTTTTACATTGAAATTCTATCCCTTTCTGAAGTCATTACTCTTTAATCAGTATCACATTTTAATGTGAAACTATTTTCGTGTTTGTCTTATATATTTGTATAACCAGAACCTAAATTAAATTTAACATCTGCATTTCCATTTTACCAACCATTAATTGATCCTAATAATTACTTGGAAGTTTTCATAAATCTATAACTAACTGGTCCATCATATTTACGAGTACTGTCAATCTTACATAATCTTCTATTTGCAAATTATAAAGCAGTTTTTCTATCAACATTCTTTATGTATTTATAATTTATATACATTTGCTTTAAGGAATAGAAATTAGATTACACGATCTATTGATATAAGATTTTTAGATCTCTCTTTAAATTTAGTGCATTATCCAAATAAGGGAACCTATAAAAGATATGATAATTTTTAATACATCTTCTTTGGCAGCAATTTTGAGTGCTTCTTCATATTTTAATCTTTTTCGTTAAATAGGTTTTTTTTACATAAAATTAAATTGAGTATAAAGTATTTAATGTATATATTATTTACTTTAGTATTAATAAATTAGAAATGAGTTCAGATGAGGAAATTCCTAAAATAAAACCTTCAAAATCTACAAATTATGATTCAATGATCTCATCAATAATAAATAATGAAGGTGGTCAATAAAATTTATAAGCTTTGAATGATCGAAAAGTGCTTTTATTATATGCATCAGGAGCTGCAGCAGCCGAAGGTGAAGTGAATGAATCTCATATGAAAGTAGTCAAAGGAAGATTAGAATAAAGATTGAGAAGTATTTCATTTCTTTGTGACCTTGAATACACTTAAGTAATTAATTAAATAATATTATAAAGTATCATAATCAAGATGGATGTCTGTCTACTCCATTATCTGAATTTGGAAGAAGAACAGTCTATAAAGTTATGGAATTGGAACAAATTACTAATTCAAGATAAACAGTATGATTATATTATTAATATAGTCTTATGCTGATATTAGACATATAGCAGAAATAATAAAAGAGAATTATGAAAAATATAGTGCTTTTGTTATTTTGAGTGGAATTGCAACAATGACTTATCTAGGGACAAACTTATCATTCATGTTGGAAAACCTATAAAAAACTGTAGTGATTACTGGATCTCTTTTACCATTATCCTTTATGAGAAATGATGCATTTTAAAATATCTTAGACTCATTAATTTTAGCTGGACATTTCTTAATTCCTGAAGTTTTAATTGTTATGGATCATAAAGCTTATAGAGCCAATAGATGTAGACAATTAAAATGTGATTCCTTGGATTGTATTGAAAGTCCAAACTTTCCACATTTAGTAGAATTTGGAATCAACATTGAAATCAATTGGTAATTAGTTTTAAGAAGAGGAGAACAAATGTTTACAAATGATGAAAGTACCTTAGAATTAGCTCCTCCTTTTGTGACTGATGTCATTATAATAAAGATTACACCATATACAAGTGTTGAACACATTAAACATATTTTGAGTACTCCAAATTTGAGATGTTGTATATTAGAATGTTATCATTTTGGTGAAATGCCTCATAGTTAAGAATTGTATAATGTATTATTACATGCTCAATAATAATTGGGTATAGTATTAATCCAAATATCTTAATGTATTAGGGGTTAACCAATTATGAATTTCAAAAAAGTTGTTAATGGTATTCTTGTTTAATATGATACCACTCCAGAAAGTGCTTAAGCAAAAATAGCTTATTTATTAGGTAAAGGATATAGCAATTAAGAAATCTATCAAAAGTTTCCATAGAATCTATAAGGTGAAACTGAATCAGTCAGATAATTTGAGAAATTTGAAGTGTAAAAGTAACATTTCATTTAAACAATATTGGAAACTCTATAAAAAACAACAGGAGATGAATAAATTAGTCAAAATATGGATATTATGAATAAATACATCATACCAAATTTAGGATGTTTTCTTGCTACAACAGGATAATTAGAATTAATTAAAGATTTAAGAAAGAATGAAGGAGATCTAAGTATTCCTGATTTTGATGGAAGAACTATACTTCATTTAGCTGCTGCAAATAAATAAATTGAAATAATTAAATATTTAGTAGAAGAAGTTCATGTTGAAATAAATCCAATTGATTATTTAGGTTATTCTCCAATGTATGAAGTATTGATTAGTAGAGATAAGGAAATGTTATTATACTTTTATTAAAATGGAGGTATAATATCAGCACCTCATCATATATTGGTAGATTTACTTTTATCTTCTGGTTTAAATGGAGATTTATAAATGTTAGAACTCATATTTCATGGAGGAATCAAAAATCTTAATCATTTTGTTAATGTAGATAATCGTAACATAGCTCATATGGCAGTTATGTCATAGAATACTAAAATAATCAAATTCTTGAGATTTAAAGCTAAATTCGACTTTAGCGATAGAGATAGATGGGGAAATACTCCATTTGATAATGCATTAGAAATTAAAACAAAAAAAATCAAAATTTAATAGATGAATGAAGTAGCCATTGATGAAATCATCAAAATTTTGGTTACAATAGGAAATGATTGATGTACCCATTATATATATATATATATTATAAACAAATTTATCACCAATTAGGAGGAGGCATTCCCTTGTTTTTTTTAACTCTCAATTCAGGATTGAATGTAGCAATATATCTATTGTAAGTGATTTCATCTAAAATGACTTCAAATTCTATTTATGTAGGATCTCCTTTCTTATTAGGACTAATATGGATTTCTTTTTAAATTCCTGATATATTCCCATTATCAAACAGCCATTTTAATCTTTACTAATGTTCATCAATGTTATATCTCAATTTATATGGTTTTTTGTTCATAATTAAATTAGATTTATCCTCCATGATCGATAACAATTACTTAATATTGGTATTCAATAAAGCACTTACAGGAACAATAGGATAATTTTATTACTAAATCTAATTTATATCAATAGGATCATTCATCAAATCAATCTTATTCCAAACTTCAATCTATTATAAAATTTAAAATATACCATTTTTCTACTATAAAATTCTTCATTGAATCCTAATTATTATAATACTTCTAGTACTACTTGTTTCTATTATTCTGAACAAGGATGAGAAATATCTCTTACATGTAATACAATATCAGCATCAGCCACTTCTTCTAAAGTACATTTAAATGATTCTACTAAATCATGTGGAAGATCTGTTATAAATCCTATAGTATCTAACATTATTGCCTTCTAACCAGATGCCAATCGAATTTATTTAGAAGTAGTACTTAATGTTTGGAATAACAGATCTTTACTTTCAACAACTTCCTTTTGTAATATACAATTTAATAATTATGATTTTCCAGCATTAGTATATCCAATTAATGCAATTCTAGGAACAGTGTGTATTAATTTCTTTTTTTTTAATTTACTTCTTTAATAACCTTCCTCTTCAATCTATCTACGTACTTTTGCTATTCTTTCATCTATTTTTCTCCTTTAAATCTAAATTTCACTTTCTCCTGAACCACTCATTTTTCCTAATGCTCTTCTCTATTTTGCAGACACAACCTCTAAATATACTTCCTTTGCCATCATCAAATCTCCCAAGAATATAGAAGATAAAGATGCAAATGCACTCCCACTTCTTACTAATTTAGTTTTTGCAAATTTGAGAAATGATAATTCTATTTATTATCTTGCAACTCCTTATGTAGATCTTTTTGCAAATATTTATAGAATCATTGTAAATCGATCAAACACTTTTACATATGCATCCTCATATTCAATATCTGTTTCTGCATCAGTAGCTATATCACTATCATCAGGATTTTCACTTCTTCTAAAAGTGGCTATTTCTCCTTTTGCATATTATGTCCATACCTTCTCCAAATTCCTAGTTTATAATGGAGATAACTCATGATTAATAAAAACTGCATTTATTTTCTTATCATATATATGTTCACCCAACATAGCTACTTTACCTTTAGTAAAAAAAGTGGATGAATGAATTCTTTTTACTTTAACTAAAGATGATTTGGCAATTGAACTCCTTATAATTTTATTTCTCCATTCATGTCCCAAATCATCATCACTATCTGATGATAAATCTACTAATAATTAACCATCATCATATGTTCCTGATAAAAATGGAAGATAAACATATTCTCCATTTTTTAAATGTGCTTTACCAGAAAGCTCCCATCCTTCTGCATTCAACTCATCTTCCTTATTCTCAACCTTTACTTATATTGGATTCCTTCCCTAACTTATACGTATATTCTATGTGTATTCCTCCTTCCAAAATGGTCCTTTCTCTAATGTCCAATTTAAAGATTTTGATAATCCAACTGCTTCCTCTGCCAAATACAATTCTAATTCAGGACCTTTATTTGGGTAAAAGATTGGATGAAGCACCAAACAATTGACTTGTGTAAACCCAAATGGTGCCCTCACTCTTTAAACTTACTATGTATCTGTTGCTTCTTTAGAAAATCTATACTTTAGTAAAGCATTGCTTAATCTCCTTATAAGCATATTTATATATTTATAATTTACATGAACAAATTATCATTGCCTATGGATATCAAAGAAAATGAGTTCTTTAATGAAGATGCCATATCAAAATCAACTATCTAAGCACTTAACAATTCCTTTGATAAGGAATAATTAGATGAATAGATTGAAAGACCATTTACACCTTTAGATGCTTAAGTTGAGTTTATACCAAAAGAATAATGTAAATTTTGTAAGCGCCAATTCTTTCAAGGCAAATTGGCTCTACATTTACGTAGTTGTTCTGCTGATCATCCTTTTCTCAAAAAATCTAATAAACAAAAAACATAATTACCTTTTACATAACCAGCTATTCAACCTTGTCCTTATTGTCATAAGAAATTGAGAAATCCTCAAATTCATATTCTAAAATGTCCTGCTAGACCAAAAGCGTTAGACAAATATAAAGTCATTGCATCTATTAATGAAGTTGAAGAAGCAGATGAAACTTTACTTTAAGAACTCTCGTCAAGTTAACCTACATTCTTACCTAAAATTAAATAACGCCCTGAAAACTTACTCTCTCGTTCTGTACCAATTGTTAAATGTCCATCTTGTCAGAAAACATTTGAATAAAAAGCAGCTGAAAAGCATATTCAACTATGTTTTCGTATGAGCAGTGGTAATAAATTTCAGAGAAGTATATTCTGTACTAATTGTGGAAACAAATTCGCTAATAATCATAAGTACTGTGGTTCTTGTGGAAAAAAAAGACTATGACAAAATTATATCATTACAATTTTATTCTCATCCATATTTATAATTACTTGTCATAAGTTAAAAACCTTAAAGAATTTTGAATTTTTTTTCAGATATTATTACTAATAATTTAAACATATCAATTATGTATTTGATATAAATATAAATAGGATCAATAATTCTTCTTTATATATATATTTTTGTAATTTCCCCAAAGTATCAAGATCTTATAGGGAAAATAAAAATAATAGAAATTATTTATATAATTTACTAAATTTATTTATATATATCAATAAAGATAAAATAACCTACTTCAATTTTTATTGACTTAAACTTATAAAAAGTATGAGAACATGTAATTCAATCCATTCTCCTTACTTTGAATTGTTGTTAATATTTATAATTTTATCTATACCTTGGAAATTCAATTCGATTTTATATCTATTTTGACTTACCAAAACACATATATGTATACTTTTAGTGCTTAACATTAAAGACTTTTACAGAATAGCTGTTGTTGTTGTTTTGAAATAATGCATATACCTTTAATTTATTTCTTCTCATAACTTAAAACCTAAATAAGATATTAATAATTTACATTTATGCACCATTCAAAGCTAAAGTCAATACGGAATTTATAAGTATCCCTCTTGGAAAATATTACTTTTTTATATTATAATGAATCAAAAATTATTGCTAAAATTTTGGTTTTTTAGTAGAAATATTAAAAGCCTATTTATAAGATTATTTTGTTATACTAAATTAACTAGATATTAATTGATTTTATAGGAATTAATTAAATATAAATTTTGTACACTCTTAATGGGTAAGGGATGATGTATTTATTATTATTCAATTTAGTCATCTTACATTTGATATTGATTCTTATCAATAGAAAATATAATTATTTGTTAAAATATAATTGTTTTTAAAAATATATATATAATTTAATTTTATAATTTAATGTAAGGTCTGAAGTTAAAGTAGTAGATTGGATTGATCTTAAGAAAAGACTTTGATGCTATGCCTTTAATCAAATAATTGATGGATGAATCCTTGAATTAGCCTTTGTTACTTTTAAATGATGAAGAATAAATGTGGACTTAAATCTAGAGGGCAATTGAAATTTTAAATCAAAAGAGTCTTAAAAAGTTAAAATAAATAGAGGAAAGAGCAACAAAAATAGCAGGTCAAGTAGTAGAAGAGTAAGAGGAGGAAGGTTAGACTGAAGAATAGGAATAATTGGAATAATAATCAAATTAAGATGGGGAAGGAGACGATGAGCAATAGGAGGTCAATGAAGAGGATGTGAATGAGTAAGAGGATGAACATCAAGAGATGGAATAAGAATTTGATGAGGATGGAGGAAATTTTAGATTTGAGAAAAAGTAAAAATAAAAGGATGATTTTGATGAATTTGAGAAATACATGCAAGATTATGATGATGGAAAGATGGGTAAAATTGATTTAGATGATGAGGAGATTGATGAGGATGAGGTAGATGAAGAAGAAAATGAAGAAGAAAATGATGAAAATAATAATGAAGGGTAATAAATTATATAGATAATATGATAGTGAGGATTCAGTATTTGATGATATGAGAGAAGAAGAATTAGAATAAGCATAAGAATAAGAATAAGATTAGGAAGAAGAATAAGTAAATAATGTTATTGAGGAAGAAGATGAAGAAATCAAAAACTTAGAAGAACAAAGATTGAAAAAAAAAGATTGGCAATTTGTAGGTGAAGTGTAAGCTAGATAGAGACCATTAAACTCTTTAATTGAATAGGATTTAGATTTTGATGTGAATAGAAAAGTATTAGAAGAAACAACTCCAGAGTAATTAAATAAATTGATAGAAATGATCAAGTAAATAAGTTTATTAATTAAATTATAGAAAGAGAGTCTAAGATGAATTGTTTGATGATAGATAGAAAGTGTAAATTAATTTGCATTCTCTTGAGAAACCAGTTGATTAGGTTGATACAAATAAGTCACAGTTTGGATTAGCTGAATTATATGAAAGACAATTTAAACAAGCATTAGGATTACCAACAAATACTAGTGAATAGAAATTGAAACAAGAGTTATTTGAATAATTTAGAGACTTATGTTATAAATTGGATTCATTGACTAATTTAAACTTTGAACCAAGAGGATTTGTGAAATAAGCAGAAGTTCAAGTGTTGGATAATAATGTGGTTTAGAGAGAGGAGAAAGTGCCAATAACAGCAAGAGGAGAATAATAAGAGGATGTAGAGAAGATCAAGAAGGCAGGTTTTTTATCTAAGGAGGAGGCAGATCATTCATTGAATAAGAAGGGTAGAAGAATGGCTAAATAGAGAAAGAGAAATAAGGAGAGAGAGAAGAGAAGAAGTGGTTTAGTTAAGAAATTGGAAAGTAGAGGTGAGACTAAGTTTATGTATAATCAACATCAATAAGGGAAGAAATAGATGAGTTTCATTAAGTAATAAAAAAATAAGGAGAGTGTTAAATTTGATAAGACTAGTACTTTTTTTAAGAATTTGTAGGAGAGTGGAGTAAATAGATAAGGAGATATTAAAAATAAGAAAGGTGGAGATAAACCAAGTGGAGATATAAAAAGTAAGTCTAAATAAATAAAAAAGCAATGAATATTTTTGTTTATAATTTATAATTTATATATTATATTTATAAATAAATGTTTTAGAATGATGGTAATGGTTAGTCACCTAATTGGTGTTCATATGAAAAACAAGCAGTAAAAGTAATTCGTAATAATGCAAATTAATGTCCAGCAATAAAAAATCATACATCTATTCATTATAAGAAATAGATCTTTATATTTGGAGGGTATGATTCTAAAAAAAATCACAACGACATTCATATATATAAGGATGGAAATTGGACAAAATGTAAAGCTAATGGTAGAATTCCAGAGAGTAGAAATGGACATACTGCTACAGTTGTAGATAATAAGATGTATGTAATTGGTGGATGGTTGGGAAGTGGAACTTATGCTAGTAGAGATGTTTATGTATTAGATTTGGATTGTTTGTTTTGGACACTTGTTAATACAATGGGAGAAGTATGATTTAAAAATATATTAAAGGTTCCAGGTCCATGTAATATGCATAGTGCAGATTTAATTGGTTAATTAATATTCATCTTCAGAGGAGGGGATGGGAAGGATTATTTGAATGATTTACATAGTTTCAATACAAAAACCAATATGTGGAAATTAGTATAAACAGCAGAAAATTAGAGACCTCCACCAAGAGCTAATCATAGTTCAGCAGTGTGGCAAAATAAATTATATATCTTTGGAGGTTGGGATGGTTCAAAAAGATTAAATGATTTACATTGTTATGATATAACAACCAATAGATGGAGTGAACTAAAACCAATTCAATCTCCTAGTGCCAGAGCAGGAATGTGCATGACTACTATAGATAATAAGATATACTTATTTGGTGGGAGTGGACCATAAACTACATGTTTTGGAGATTTGTAATGTTATGATCCTATTAAAAATGCATGGACTATTATAGAACTTTAAGATGAAGAATAATTTGATAAAGCTAGAGCTGGTCATAGTATGACTGCTATTGGTAATCTTATTTATATTTTTGGTGGATCTTGTGGATCTCATTATTTTAAGGATTACTTTATTATTGATACAGATCCACCTCCAAACATTTCTATGACTGATTTCAATAATATATCTATTAATTAGTATTTTAGAGGATTTTTCAATTAGTCTAAATACAGTGATATCATTTTTGTTATAGAAGATAAACAATTGTATGCACATAAAATAATATTATCTCGATATGAAATGTTCAATAAGATGTTTGAATGGGAATACAAAAATCAATAATAAAAAGTTTATATAAATGATTGTTCTTCCTTTATTTTTGAATAGTTGTTATACTTCATTTACACAGGAGATGTAAGTGTAATTTCTATTTTAGTTATAATGTGATTAATTTTAATAATCAATTGAATACTATAGATAATTATTGTAAATGGCTGATTATTACCTCATACCAGATTTAAAGTCATTATGCGAGAAATAATTGTCTTTGTTGATAGATAGCACTAATCTGACTAAAATTAAGCTTTATGCAGAATAAATGAATGCCAATTAATTGATAAAATTTTGTGAGTGGTATGAAAACCATAATAACTGATTATATATATATTTCTTTAATATTTATTATTCACTGAATCAGAATTTTGCTCCAAAATTAATCATGCCATTATTTAAATGTGTTCTTTATAGTTTATCTAGTTTATGTGAGAATAGCTGGATCATTAACACTTGGAGCTCCCAAATCAACACAATGAGCACAATCATCACAATCAATTAAATATGTTATAACTTTGCTATTAGTCTTAGTTTTATTAGTCAATGAAGCTCTTTGCCAAGGATCTTCACCTCCATTAGTCATAATTAAATGATCAACATTCAAGTTTAATCCTCCAAAATAAGCTTCAGTTACTCTTACATCTGGCCAAATTAATTCTCCTTAAGAATAAGCATCATTACACCATTCTCTCCACCAATCCAATGTTAATTCATAAGATCTTAAAGAATTTTTATTCTATCATAATTATTATATATACTTATGGAGGTGTTTATAAATAAGCGACTTCAGTGCAGCATTAGAAATACCATTGACGATTTTGAGAGTTCTCATCAATTGTCTCGTTTCTTAAATAATATGCACCATATTGTTTATAACTATCTCCTTAAGATAATGATATTTCTCTAATGTATTCAGCCATTCTCTCAACAGATGGTAAGGATTCAAGAGTTTGACAGAATTCTGTTCTCTATCCTTATTAGATCATTTAAACAATGGTGTCAGCCCAGAACCATCTGAATTCATTATCTGTCATCTTTCCACATCTATATGATTCTTTAAATGCTTATTTAGTATTAAAGTTCTTCAAATTCTTATCTACATAACTATTCAACAACTGTAAATATAATGGACATCTAGAGGTGTTAATTCAGATATATATACTATTCACCACTCTTACTTGTACTCTTTCTAATTTGATCATCAAATTACCAAAAGTCAAGAATTGTGTTGATGACTCCACTACTAGCCAAATTACCAACAGTCAAATGAGGATATTTGTATCTAAACCAAGCTGATAAAGCCCCTGGATATGAACCCCCAATTGCATACCTATATATTAAGATATCATATATACCAAGGCAATGTAGAATCAATGTTATGTAATTGAAGTCTCTTCATTTACAATATAAAATAAGCGAGATCATCTAAAGCTTGATGAACATTTAAATAAGATAAGTTCTCTAAACTCCATGAATCTTCTCCAAATGGTTAAGATTGTCCATAGAATCTGTGTTCTAATGCTATAACAATTGCACCTAAATCCTTAGCCAATTAAAAGGAGAATGAGTTATCACCTACTCCTTAACAATTCCATTCTCCACAAATATATAAGATAACTCCACCTTTAGTGGGATTAAAATATTAAGAATACACATGGTATCTTTATTTCCATGTCTGATTATTGGCTGGGTCACTGTGATCCAAAAGCTATGTAAATTGAAAAGTCTGTTTAGTTTCTGTAAATGGTCCTTACGTCAATACATGAGGAGCAATTGCGTAAGAGCAAATAGTTAATGCTGACAAAATCAAATACATAATTTAATAAATAAATTACATAATATCAATTAAAATGATATATAATACCATCATAAAAATAATCACTTGTTGAACATTCCAAAATAAAGAATATTTTTATATCAATTAAATTAAATATCATTCAATATCATCTTTATTCATTGATAGTTTATTCTAACAATTTTATATATACTATTGGACTTCTTTTTTATTGTCTGAATGAGGAAATTGGATCAAAAGTGACTTAAACAATTAAATAGCAGATTGGTAATCTTGTAATTCATAATTTGCTCTTCCTTTTATCAATAGAGCTATTTTACTTCAGATGCCCTACCTTTTTCATTCTCATTATCAAAACTTAAAGCCTCATCACACATCTAATCTGCCATGCCCCATTCCTTTAATTTTATATGACAAACTGCTCTATTTGAATATGACTTGCTTATTTCCTTTAATATTTTTTTCTTATACTCTTACTATTAATCTTCCACTTTAATTCTACTAATCAATTAATAGATAGAGATGGCTGGAATATAATTTTATTTTTGAAATATCATTCCAGCATATTTCCTTACTTCATCAATGTATTATTCTATTTATAACTAGTTTAATGAATCTATTTCTTAATACACAAAGGTTCTCTCTATATTGATAAGCCAATATTATCTCTTCTACATTTTCAATGGTATCATATTATCTATATAGACATCAATCTCTTTTTATGTGAGAGCATAAACTTCGCTAACTTCAAAAAATGCCTATTCTCCTTTCAACATGGTTCTGAGAGCACTAGAGAGGGCAAGAGGAATAGAATTTGAATTTTCAAATAAAACTACTGTTCTAAAGGTATCTGTTTATTGTGTTATTTATTGACCTTCTTCATCAAATTCTGTGAAAGTGTAACAAATAAATTCAGAATCAAAATTAATTGATCCCAAACCTTGAATTTCAAGATCAGAAGAGTGGTATTTCCATAACATATCCTCTATAATAGTTTACTTGTGTGATTAGTGAATTGATTGCATCTGATATATATATTGATTTAAATTTTAAATTATAATATATGAGCAAGGATAATAAGGGTGAAATTGATGTTGATAGTATCATTGAAAGACTTTTGAGTGTCAGAGGAAGTAAACCAGGAAAAAATGTAAACTTAACAGAGGCAGAAGTCAGAGGGTTGTGTATAAAAGCTAGAGACATTTTTATTTCTTAACCAATTTTATTGGAACTTGAGGCTCCATTAAAAATTTGTGGTAAGTTTAAGATAATATGAGTTTATAGGTGATGTGCATGGTTAATATTTTGATTTACTTAGATTATTTGAATATGGAGGATACCCTCCTGAAAGTAATTATTTATTTCTTGGTGATTATGTTGACAGAGGTATTTAAATTGATCTATTTGAATAGGAAAATAATCATTAGAAACTATTTGTTTGCTTTTAGCATACAAAATAAAATATCCTGAGAATTTCTTTTTGCTTAGAGGGAATCATGAATGTGCATCCATTAACAGAATTTATGGATTTTATGATGAATGTAAATAGTTCAATAGTAAATATAGGCAAGAGAAGATATACTATAAAATTATGGAAGACCTTTACTGATTGTTTTAATTGTCTACCTGTAGCTGCATTAATTGATGAAAAGATTTTGTGTATGCATGGTGGATTATCACCTGAATTATCGAATTTGGAATAAATAAGAAGAATAATGAGACCAACAGATGTTCCAGATACTGGATTACTTTGTGATTTATTATGGTCTGATCCTGATAAGGATGTATAAGGATGGGCTGATAATGAAAGAGGAGTTTCATATGTATTTAGTCAAGAGATAGTACAAGTCTTTTTAAAAAAGCATGAATTAGATTTGATATGTAGAGCACATCAAGTAGAAATTCATAAAATATTATTTTATAGGTGGTTGAAGATGGATATGAGTTTTTCAGTAAAAGATAATTAGTAACATTATTTTCAGCTCCTAATTATTGTGGTGAATTTGATAATGCAGGTTATATATTCATTAATATAATTAGGATCTATGATGACAGTGGATGAATCACTAATGTGTTCTTTTTAAATTTTGAAACCAGCAGAATAGGGATAAGGAGCATCCCAATAGAACAAAGCAGGAAGTGCTAAATTTGTGAATTGAATCATCATCTATTATAATAATTAAATTTAGACATTTCATCCACAATATATTTTTAATGATAAATTAATAGTAAATGACATAAATTGATCTAAAAGCAATAGAAATGTTATTTGCTTTGTTACTATTCAGTTGCTTAACCTATATATGGTTTACATTCATATCATTTAAGTTCACAATTATTATTGTTCTAACATTTAGTTCCCTTTTTGTTATGTTGAAAATAAGATGGATAAGAATTAAAAAAAAAGGATTTCTAAATAATGTTTCAAATAAGTTAAGAAAGATATTATTGGAGAGATCCTTGTTTGATATATTGTGTGATATATGGTATTTTGAAACAATAAAGAGACATGTAAGAGTATTTTTAAGTCCATTTCTAATTAAAAAAACTCCAGAAGAGATCATAGAATCATTTGAAGATATCAATCCTTAATTGAAGGAAGCAATTTTAAGAAAAGGAACTATTAATTTATTTCCTGAACCAATTAAAAGAGAATTAGTAGAAAATTATATACAAGAAGAAGATCAATTATAGATTAATTAGGATAAATAATTGCATTAATAAGTAATTTAACAACCAGTTAAGGTTGAACATTGGGATAGATATGGAGATTATGAATAATATACATAAAGAAATAGAAAAAATAACTCACAAACTTTATTACATGTTGTCTCTTTGTTAATGCATAAACCAATAGTGAACAAGGAAAGTCATAAATTGAATTTAAGAAAGTATTATGATATCAACAATTTTATAGATTATCAAATAAAACAAAATCCTTATTGATTGGATCAATTATCTGTATAATGATTCAAATGTATTTATCGAAATCTTCAAGAAGAATCTATCAAAAGGCATTTACAGTCTTATCTTCTATGTCATTATTGGCATTAGCTTCCACTGCTTTAGGAGTGATGGCTTTAAGTAATAAAAAATAAAAAACATTATGATTTTTATTAAAATATATATATATATATATAACAAATATATAAATTTAATATAATTTTACATGAAAGAAAATCTTAAAACTGACACAAGTGATGTGATTTTTAAAAGAGAAGCCACTCGTTCTTTAAAATAAATTTGCAGCTCTCAAATCTTTTTTGAGAACAAAAGACCTTCAACCAAATAATCTCTTTATTAAAAAACAAGTCAGAATTAAATAAGAGTATCTCATTTCTAAACTCAAATTATACATAGAAATAATCTATTTATATAAAATGATAAGAATAATACCATTATATCTGGAAATACTTATATTACTAAAGCTATGGAGTACTCTTACTTAAGAATTTGTTGCGAAAATTTAATAGCACCATTTGGTTGTTAAGTTCAATGTTCTAGTGAATTCTAATTAATGATTTCATAAATTCATCCATTCCCAACTAATTATAATTGTGAGTAAATGATTAATAATAGAGGATTTGTTGTTTCAGTAATAAAAGGTGAATTTATTTATATTTCAGCCATTACTAGAAAAGATTCAGAACTTTAATTCAATCTCTTATTTAATATACAATTTGAAGAAATTTAAAGAGTTAAAACTCTTTAAGATACACCATCATCAAATGATTTCTTATAAATGTTTAAATTATCTCATTCCAAATCTTTTTAATAAATAATCAATACAAATAAGGAATAAGCAGCAATTAAAAAAAATAGATATTAAGATGAAATATCAAGGTCAGAAAGATTCTTAAAAGTATTATCAACTAGGAACTTTTAAAGATAATCTAAGACACAAGCTAAAATTTAAAAGCAATATCAAATAAAAGCTAAGAAACTCTCTAATTAAGAAAAAATCCTTACAAAAATTATAGATGACAAGAAAAGACAAAAAATCATTTTTGAATAATAATGGGCCATCATTATTTATCTTATAAATATGAGTTCAAGAGTATTTAATTTATTTTGTCATAAAAAGTAAATAATGAAAAAGAATAGATTAGTAGCATTTAGAATTAAATCATTATTAAAATAAATGAAAAAAACAATCATATGTTCAAAAGGAGATACATTAGATACACGAGTTTTAGTTGATAGTTTTATGTCAATTAAGGCTAAAACCAAAACTATTAGAAATAACCTAAGAATGCACTAAATTTAAATATTATTACCAATTTTATCATAAAGATCTAAAATTTACAAACTAAAAATGTAAATGTTAAAATTAGGAGACAAATTTTAAATTATCAAAAAACATATCTCTTAATTTGAAGAAAATTATACAAAATATAAAAGTGATATGATAATCAAATGGGATAATCTGAATGAAAAGATTAAGGATGAAGAAATCAAATGGAAATAAGCTGCTTTGAGAAATAAAGGATTAGTGATTTGGTTTTAAGTTTTGAAAGATAAGGATTTGGCTTAATAAATGAGAAAATGTTTTATATTTGAATTAATGAGAGATAGAATAAGATAGCATATAAAGGATTAATAATAAGTTAAGAAATATAGAATGGATTTAAAATATTATAAATAGAAATTGAGAGTTTGTAGAGATTTTACAGAAGCTACTACTTTTCGAGGAGAAATCTTTAGATTAACAAATGATATATATGCTATGCATATGAAAAATCAATTATTTATGCATGTTGATGTTGAGAAATATTTTCATATGTTAGTAAGTAAATATACAATTCTAATTGATGAATCTGAAAATTTACCTCGTGATTTATAAATTTAATAGAGATAGAAATAAAGACAATCTAGACTTACACTAAGGAGAGTTACAAGAAAATCTAAAATTTGATCAAATAATCTCTTTATTTATTAATATTTATTATAAAACATACAATATTAATTAAACACGTACTAAATCGTATATATATATATATATCATTATTATTTATCCTCTCTTTTTTTGCTTGCAAATGTTTTTTATCTCTACAATTCCTTTTTCTTTAATTTCTATAGTTCATTTCTTTTTTATCTTCTTTCTTTATTTCTTAATTTCTTAGCTTTCAATCTCTATTAAGTCTTAGATTTTGCATTAGGTTGAGTTGGCAATAGAACAGGTTTTTTCTAAATAGACAATAACTTACTTTATTTTATTTCTATTGATCATGACAATATAAACGATAAATGTTTGACAATGAATCAGCAAATTTATTTATTTACTATTTATTTGAAGATGTAGATATTGTTAATTTTTGTGTTTATGATCTAATGATGATTTCATTAACATCATTAGCTGTTTTGATTTCATTCAATAATTGTTATTTCTATTTTCTTTTCAATCTCTTTCTAAGTTGTGGATATTGTTCTTTCAAATCTAAAATATGATAAATAAGTTTAATACTTCTCTTTATAGTTAATTTAATTATTTTCTCACCATTAAACAATTTAGACATTTAACTTAAGAAACTATCAGGTTTCTTCTTTCCCATTTTATTTAAAATTAATAATATTATATTATATATAATGTTCCCAATAATAACTCATTAATATGTTAGTATGATCAAATACTTTCTCATAGACAACATCAACTTTACCATAATAGCAGAACTCTGTCAATATTAATAAGGCTTATTGCTTTCAAAGTGCCTTAATTAATTTCTGAATATTTGATATAAAATCAACAATAGCTAGAATAAATGGATCCTTATTCATAATTTAAAAAATATATTTAATCTTACAGCACTTGAAAGTACAACAAAAATATATAAGTTTGTTATGTATAATATCTTTGTTAATAGATTCAATCTAAATGATTTAACTATGATTCATTTTATATTGTCTACCATCATAAATGATTCCTGATTTATCTAACATTACTACATTTACCAGACTCTATTTATAACCAATTTCAAATCCTTTCACATTCTTTTTGTTAATTTTAGATAGTTGTCACCATACATCAAATCAATATACAAACTATTTATCCATTTTAGGATTAGATCTATACCATACAATTCATTAAATTATAAAAAAAAGGATGGTAGATTATGATTAATTCAACACTGATGTTATTGATCTTTAAATATATTCACTTTTATAATTGATTTTGTACTATGAGTTCCCTTGATTAATACAACATCATAAAAATACTTGATTATGAGAATTGATAAAAGATTTCATTAGAGTGATGAATTTAACATAATTTCGAACTATTAATTTAAAGCAAGAGTATAAAAATAAACTAATACTTTGTAGATAATTGATTATTCGCATTGTTAGATACATCTTTCATGATATTTCTATATAAAATAATCGGATAATTATATAATAAAATGTACTTATAACTTTTAAATAATTTGAACTCACTTTAGATAAGTAAGATAAATGGATAATATTGCAAAATGTTCTTTCCCAATAGTGAAAAAAAGGGACAAACATTATTATTATTATTCACTTGATTCTAATTAAACCCATCAATTATTAGTGATAAATATTATTGACTTACATATTATTTATAATAAAATGATATTTTTCAATTATTTCTTATCAGTATTATATATTATAAATGTTGTAATCATTTGCTAGCAATGTTAATTGTCCAAATCATAATTAACCCATCACTTATATTGATACCAAGAAAGACACACCCATCAATAATAGGGCTAAATGTTTAAATTGTATTCCTTTGAATGATGCTGTTCAATTAAAAATTGCTCTAGAAAAATTTAAGAAATTGAAAGAAGATGAAAAATAATAGATTAGAAATTATAGAAAAAACAAAATCTATGATTTCTTAGAATTCAAGAAAGTTATTCATCAACTTTCTGAATCCATTTCATAATCTCTTAATGAAATTAGTAAATAGATCAATGAAAGAATTGAAAAAATTGTTAGTGTTATTCAATAAGCATAATCAGTACAATGGCAATTTGATATTAATGAATATTTGACCATAAGTGGATTGCAGAATATAGGATTATAATTGAGTTAGTAAGGAAATGAATTTTCTCTTATTAAAGCTGGTTACTCTGTAGTTTAAATGAAAAAGGAGTAACAATTACAGACCACTCTATCTAACTATTAAAATAATATTAAATCTATCCAAAGTAATATGGAAATACTTAAAGAATCACTAACAACCAATCTTATTATAAATGAAGAGATAGTAGGGAAAGCTCCTTAAAAAGAGAAATGCTTAGCTACAGCCTTTAATAAAGATAATTCTATAATGATAAGTACATCAGAAGAATTAATTAAGGTTTGGGCCTTCGACAATGGTAAATTAGAATTATTCCAAACATTAAAAGGTCATGATAAGGAAGTCACCTGTCTATATTTCAGTCGTAAGAATAATTGGTTCATATCTGGAAGTCGAGATAAAACACTTAGAATTTGGAAAGAGTTTAGTAATAGTGAATGGGGATGTATATAGATTTTAGAAGGCAATAGTTTTTGCATTAATTGTGTTATTATGAACTAATATGAAGATCAGATCATATCTAGTAGAGATGATAATAAAATCAAGGTATGGATGCAAGAATCCTTACTGACATCATAATAACCACAATGGAAATGTTATTAAACTCTACAGGATCATAAAAAGGATGTTTACTCTTTAAGTTTAAGCTCATCTGGCACTATGTTAGTTTCTGGTTCTTATGATAAAACTATAATTATCTATGATATGGATGATTAGTAATAATGGAGACTTAAGCAAGTAATATCAAATGATTATGAAAATTGGGTACATTCAGTTTGTGTAATCAATGATAAGTTGATTGCAACTAAATTATATAATGGAGTCGTTATACTTTATCAATATATGGAATCAGTTGAATCATTCGAATAGATTCAAGAATTGGAGCTTAGTAAATCAAAGATGAGTTACTTTGATTTCTTTCACATGTTCTATAATCAGTAATTGTAATCCATTTTCTGTCGTCATCTAGATTGCATTTACATTTTATTTTAATAAACAACAGGGAGATATGGAGTTCAATAGAAAATTACAGATAATTATAGAGGTGGTAGTTTGACTGACAATGGAGAATATATTGCATTATGGAATAACAGTACTAAATAATTAGAAATAAGATAATAAGAGTGAATTGAAATATGTATAATATAATATAATATAATATAATATAATATAATATAATATAATATAATATAATATAATATAATATAATATAATATAATATAATATAATATAATATAATATAATATAATATAATATAATATAATATAATATAATATAATATAATATAATATAATATAATATAATATAATATAATATAATATAATATAATATAATATAATATAATATAATATAATATAATATAATATAATATAATATAATATAATATAATATAATATAATATAATATAATATAATATAATATAATATAATATAATATAATATAATATAATATAATATAATATAATATAATATAATATAATATAATATAATATAATATAATATAATATAATATAATATAATATAATATAATATAATATAATATAATATAATATAATATAATATAATATAATATAATATAATATAATATAATATAATATAATATAATATAATATAATATAATATAATATAATATAATATAATATAATATAATATAATATAATATAATATAATATAATATAATATAATATAATATAATATAATATAATATAATATAATATAATATAATATAATATAATATAATATAATATAATATAATATAATATAATATAATATAATATAATATAATATAATATAATATTACATTAAATGAGAATAAGATACATACAAAAAATTACAAATATCAATCCACCTATTTTATCTTGGCTTCATTTTATAATATCTGATCATATATATCTATTAACTTCTATGCCAAACGATATCCTCCTATAGCTAAATTCTCTTCACAGAACTACTATGCTTATTAGACATAGTCCTTGTTGTAGCTATTAGATTAAGCAATCATTGGGTATACAAATTAGATTGCTTATCTATATCCAACATAAGTCCAAACTGATGGATTACTATTTAAATATTAATGCGTAATATACGTCATGTCCAAATTATCGTATTTCGTAATTTGATACTTTTTAATTACGTCTGATGACCACTTATTTAAATATTCCTGATCGCTTTAACTCAGAGGTCTGACTAGAAAAGAGTTGTTGGGACTAAAAGCAAATGCACCTGCGTCCCAAAATGAATGCAAATTTACCAAGGTTCCATTCTCCAACTAAAGTTATTTATTCAATTTTACCTGCACTTTCATGAAATTTCCTCCTTAATCTCCATTGGGATAACTTGAATTCCAGAATGTAGTATCATGTAATGGTTGGTGTAAGTCTCCAATAACATGGAGAAGCACTCTTAACATTTAAGCTTTAAACATTGTATGTCTATTCTTAGCTGTTTTGGTGTTTGTGAGTACTGAAACTGCTTAGTTAATTGCATAAATAGAATTAATGTTTCTTGATTAATCATCTATCTTAATCAATAAGCCGTCTGGATTTATGGGTCTGTCTGTATAATGCCAATCGTTCATAAATGAAGTTCCTGTTTCCTTAATGTCATCCATCCATACTGCAGCTTCTGCAAATGTATTAGACTTCCCATCAGTGAGTGGATTTAAATCTTAAACCAATGAGTCAGCCCAAGCTAATACATCTGGACGATTATCTTTTAAGTAGTTCTTTGCTATTTGTGCAGTCATCATGTGTCCAACATGCCACCAACATTGTACTAAGTAGCTTATTGTTAGAAGAAGGAGAGCTTTCATTTAATTATTTTATTAATCACATATTTGTAATTCTAACTTAAATACTCCAATTTTTATAATTAAAAACTTTAAAAAATTGCATAATTTACCACATTATTTGAATTTAGTTTTTGGCGGCTCTTGAAAATATTATAAAGAGTTCTGAAATGTATATACTTATATTTAAAAGATCCTTATTGATTAATATTTCATCAATAAGCGATATAGCAATAATATTTTCAGATAGTACAAAATATAATTAAATTTGAATTAAAGTAATTTATAATTAGAATTATAAGATAGTATTGTTTATTTGAAATCAATATCATTATCGCTTAAATTGTTGATCTGATTGGTATTTCTTGAAAATTGGTTTGAGTCTCTTATCCTACAGTTTTATAATAATAGGATTACCTTTTCTTACATGATAGTCGAATATTGAAAGTGCCCTTGTAATTACTCTACACCTTAAATCCTTGCATATGTTATTTCACATATCTAAATTAATACACTTAGTACTTTGTCTGAATTGAAGAGTTTCCATTTCCTTGAATGAAATTCTAGAAAAAATTTGGGAATGAATTTTGAATCCAAGAAATTGATAAATGCATAACCCACATTACATTTGTTCTATGTTACATAGAAAATTTACAGTAAAATCAATTGGAAGATAAAAAAAATCATAATTATCTTTATGATTGATGTCAATATTCTCTAATAACATGGGCTAAGTATATTTATTTGGAATGTTCCTAATCATTAAGGTGGTTCTTTAATCTCCAGGAATCTATTTAGAGTGAAAAAAATACTTAATCTAATTTAATTTGATATTGAGTAATTTGTACTTATGGTTCATATTTTCTCTTATTTTTGAACTGAATTTACTAAAAAGAAGTAGGCATAGTTTTATAAAATATATCTTCTTTATTTTATTCTAAAACAGATTAATTGATATCTTAATTATGAAAGGAAGTAGAAAGAGTTTCAGGTAATGTTGATGTGTTAGAACATATTGTTATTGATCTATTTTTCATTATTAACTAATTCTTAATATTTGTAGTAGATTGAAGATCATGTTACTTAAAATGAAATGATATGTTTACTTTATATTCATCATCTGAATCTTGTTTTTGAGATTGTTTGCTTTGTACATTTGGTTTTGGTCTGACAAACTATCCAAAACATGATGGATTAATACTAAAAGCAAGCTGCATATAAAAATAATATATTTAATATAAAGATTTTAATGAGCAAAGCTTATTTGGCTGTGAAGAATTTTAAATGGTCTGAGATGGTTAATTTGCTTGCTTATGGAGTGAAGCATCCTGACACTCTTTCTTAGACTCAAAGAATTACTAGATTATATAGGTGAATCTAATAAATATTCTTAGAGCAACTATTAGGAGACATTACACATCTTAATTAGAGAATTTTAAAGGTGATCACATTAGATTTTATAATGAAATGTAAGGGGCCCAAAAAGATTTTAATAGATTATAAGAATTGAATAATAATTATGCAAGTAAAATACATTTACAAAACTAATTAGATTTGAATCAAGAATAGAAAGTAGAATTTTCATAATTAGAAAATAAATGGGTCAATTGGTTAGAGAGCAATTATGATGCATTTTTATATGTTGATGAATGTAGACCATATTCAAGCACATCAACCAGATATATTGTTTATACAGATGAAGAATTGAAATTTGATCCTTTGGGTTTTTATAAATAAAGACCAGTTAATGATGGTAAATTTGATCCACATTTGCCTTATTTCAGAGATTATCCATACAATGAATCATGGTGGAATATGAATGAATCATTCCCATCAGGTAATGATTATTTAAACATATTTATAGATTTTGATGATACACCATCACAATAACATTGATTTATTATATTCCAGATAAATAAAAAAAACAAAATACAAAATTCTATTTTATTATTTAATTTTCCAAATACTTTTCATTCAATTATTAGAAATTCATTTAAATTGATATCTATTTTTCTTATTATAATGTTTCATATAAATGGTATTGAATTTAAATATTAATATAATAAAATAATATAAATTGTGATTAAACATGTTTAATAAAAGAAAGATTCAAAAAAAAGATGATGTTTTAAATGGCATTTAAATTAATGAATAAGAAGAAATAAAAGAACCTTAAATTTAAAAGAAAAATAAAATTGAACAAACAGATAAATAAATTATATTACCACTATTAGAAGAAACTAAATATAAAGCAGGTTTTGTATTATAAAACTAAAATAACTTTGCTGTTGAAAAAATTGCACCTGAATCAAAACCATATTAAAATGAAATTGCTGAAACCCTTTAAAGATTAAAATCTATTCATTCTATTGATGATGTCAAAAAAGGATAAGTATTACCTCCAAAGAAAAATAATTCATTGAATGCTCCTATTGCCATGCCATCAAATGTTAAATTTTCATGCACTTTTGATTTTAATCCAATGTTATGTAAAGATTATCATGATACTGGTTATTGTACATTTGGAGATTCTTGTATTTACATTCATGATAGAGGTGACTATAAATCAGGATGGGAATAAGAAAAGGAATATTAAGAACAATTAAAAACAAGAAGAATGGGTAAATAAGAAAAAGAAGATCTTGAATTTAAATAAAAATTAGAAGAATATTCATTTCCTGAAACCTGTAGTATTTGTTAATAATAATTAAATAAACCTGTTCAAACTAAATGTAATCATTTCTTTTGTGAGAAATGTGTTATTACTTAAAAAAAGTGTCCTGAATGTGGAAAACCTACAGATGGAATTTTCCATTCTGGTGTCAAAATTATCTAAGAATTAAAAAATAAAAGAGATAAATTTATTGCAGAATATAAATAATAAGAAACTAAAAAATAATAAAGATTAAGTGAATGTGATTGGATGATTTGATAATTATATTAAATTTAATATATATAATTAATCCCTAAAAAATAGGATTCTCATAATCATATACTTCTATTATGACTGTAATAATAATATACCTATTTAATTATTTGAAAAATATAGATAATTAATAAATGAAATCTTATGAAAATGTAATCATTTTTTTATTATAATTAATAAATAGATTTAAACTCTTAATCTTATCATTAATATTAGTATATTCATAATTTCATAAATACTAATATCATTAAGTTTCATAATTTAATAATTCTACTATACAAAAATATTCTATCATCCTTATTTAATTTCTACATCCATCAATTTTCCAGTTCATTCTATTCTTTATAACGTTTAATAATATTTGTTTATTTTCTTAAAATCTTCAAAGAGTTATTTTTATATGTAATTTATCATTATCATTTATTTATTTTTTATTACAGAATTTATTCAGTTCACTTTATTCAGTAATATTTATTAAATACAAAATTTTATATTGGAATATAAAAATATTTTTTTTTTTAAACATACAAATTTTTGTTAATTGTTTAAACAATTCAACTTTTATGATATAAATTACATGATATTTATAGATATAATAAAATCATTTGGGCAAAGTTTTACAGTTAAATGGTAAATTTTACAAATTCTGTTTTATACTAAATACGTTTATCCGCAACAAGTAAATTTTAATAATAACCTTTGAATTGATGAGATTGTTATAAATTGGTCTACAAAGTGATTTATTTAGACTTATTTGTTGAAATTACATAAGGAATTTCTTGATTTTTAGTAATTGTGAAAATTCATAAAGGAAAATGAAATTTAAAAATCCACGTGCAAATTAGGCTATTTAAAATTTCTAATATTCCTAGTCTATTGCTACTTCATGAAAGATTATTTGATGCTTTATGTGATATCAGCATTTTAATGGTTTTTCTTAAAGTTTGAAATTTATTTGGAGGAATAAAAAAAAAAGACATGATGATGACATTTATGTCTATTTAAGAAGTGAATAAGGGTATAGTTGATAAAATTATAATATAGAAAAAAGTGAAAATCAATTTCTTGCAAGATTTTATTGCATAGTTCCCTCCAAATATGCAAGTTATTATTTTGCATTTTTGATAAAGAGTTCAAGGTTCCAAGCAACACATTTAAGATCTGTTATATCCTTGTTTTATCTTCTATTTTCGGATTATCTATTAAATTAGTCTTCTTCATCCCATCCATCACATTCATAAGAGGATTCATCTGGTGAAATATATTTATATATTTTCTTCTGTTTCTATTATTTACAAAAGCATCCTTTCTCTTTCTTTTTTATTTTTTTAGCAATCCCTAATCCTTTTTATTGATTTAATGTTGAGTTATTATCATCAATGAGTAAGTTCTAAATTGAAGCTACCTGAGTCATTTAATAAATATTTATATAAAAATTATTAACTTAAAAACGACAATTGGTTTCATTATCTACCTTAATTTAGCTATCCGTTTTAGAAATCTCCATACTGCCATATATAGAATTTATCATTTAAGGGTTCTTTAACCAGGATTGAATAATAAGGTTTTGTTCTACAACTTATAAATGTGCAAATCTTCATTGAAATTCTAATTAAAAATTTTTTTCTGTTATTTGACTTTCCAATTAATATTTTATATTTTCTAAATGTAATCTGACAATGTTTTAATAATAACTTATATAATAATCAAATATTAAGTTCATAAAAATGGAAACCCTCTAAAATTTTCATTTCCCTTATTTTATCCAAAATAATTCTAAAAGTTATTCTAGAATTATTATCCTTATTGCTACTATTACTGAGATTGTTATTATTAAGATAAACTCATTAGTTCTACTTTATAGATACTAAATTACATTAAATCAATGCCTAACTATTCTATTATACCATGAAATTAGAATCCATATGTTATGGTTATCTTTAAAATTGATTATTACATTATTTCTTTATAAAACCATTATCATATTATGAAATATCTTATTTAACTAATTATATTATGAATATATATATACTAGATTGCAATTGTTATTCTTATTATTATTGGGTTTTCATAATTTTTTCCAAAAATGAATTATGCTCTTAGAGTTATTTAGGATCCTTCTATTATCCAGGTTCTATATGGCTTATTGAAATATGATACTGTTTTGATTTAATTGTTAAAGATTCAAGAGATTATTAAACTGTTAATCAACATGATTATCTATATTTAAATATAAATTAATACTTGGTTCTTATTAAGGAATTTAAGTTTATGGTGGCACCTACACTCCTACTAGTTATTGTACTGTTTATTGATTTTAGGATTAATTCATGTTAGTAATCAAAGTGGCTAAGAGGTATGACAAAGTATCTATTTTTCTTTCATCTGTCTCTCTAATTCTTTTGATTTCCTTTAAAAAATTATGGATTTAGAATAGATTACTTGCCATAATAATTTATTTTCATTGATTAAATGATCATTTTAAGTCATGATTAATATCAATGCCTTTTGTAATTCATGTTACTTTCCCTTAATGCCTAGCATTTCATTAAGAAAAAATTAATAATCATTTTTTAGCTTAGACATATCTACTTCCATTGAATTATTGGCTATTATAAATGAGAAATAATTTTACAATTCTAACTTGAATTCTAATTTCTTTCATCAAACTACTCAACCTATTCTCCTTACTTTCTCTTAATCTCACACAGTAAATGCCTTTTTGACATAGGAATTAATGTTTACTTATTTCCTCTCTAAAAATATTTATGTCTAAATTCATTATCTCCCCCTTCATTTTTCATTTTATGAAAATCATACATATTCAATTATCTTACAAAAGAAGCATAATTATTATGCTTAAAGTGATTTGGCAATACCTAAACTATTTATGTTATAGTACTTTCTCAGCCAATTCATTGACATTTTTTACAACGAATGCTGTGCCCTCCTCATTCCAAGATATTATGTCATTATAATCAGGATTCTAATTAATTTATAGACAATATTTGTATACTTCTAAAATGTCATAAGTTTTAATTAAAAAAGAAGGAGTTGATGCCTTTTATTTAATATTTTGTTCTTCTTTTGCTCTATCCATAAAAAATAATTAAATATGATTTTTAGAAATTTCGATAAATCAAGGGATTGTTAGAATTTCTAAGAATAATCTTAATCTAAACTATTACTTTATATGTGCAATTTAGAATATGCATATTTCTAGTTTTATTAAGATCAAAGGAAAGAAAGAAATTTATTTAAAACTTACATATTGTAAATTATTCTTTGGATAAATACATAAATTTAATATTGTGTTTTCACATAAACATTCCATAATTTCTAGCATAAGCCATAGGTGGTAACTTTGGATGTTCCTAAAACATAATAAAAATAAATAGATACCACAGCATCGAATTGAACAAACTTAGGTTTCATTTCACCTCCCCTAAAAATAATAAATGCTCCCTTATTCTTCATTTGATCACAATAATTTGGAGCCGAGAAAATAGTAATAACTCTACCATCTGCTTCTACTTCATAACCTTGATCTTTCATTTCATGTGATCTAACCAATAGAGCTTTTATTTTTATAGAAATCTCATACATAAACCATTTTCATTTAAGAATTTATGAGCAATATCAGGTCCAAAGGAGATAGAAATACCTCTTTTACTTGGATGTCTTCCATTTTATTTAATAGGATCACTCCATAACATATCAGCCATAGGACCTCCTTCAGGTATATCTCTGAAACGATTTAATTTTTATAATTCACTAATAGTAACTCCATCATTTGAGAATAATCCCTATAATATAAACAGATCATCTTACTCCATGAACAACCATTACTTATTTTGATAGAGTATAAGCTAATGGTAAATAGTTGAAAACAGTTTAGAACAATTCATAAACTTTGTCATCATATTTATGTTTGACTTCACCTTCAAATCCATACATTTTGTTCATGTTTCTACTTTCATGGTTACCTCTTGTTAAATGCATAATGTCTGGATTGCAAACTTTCCATGCAAACAGAGTCATTATCACTTCAACACTCCAAGACCCTCTATCAACAAAGTCTCCATTAAATAGATAAGGTCTTTGCACTGATGGATTACCATTTATTTTAAATATGTTTAATAGATCAAAGAATTATCCATGTGTATCTCCACAAACAGTAAATTCAAGATCTCTAAAATATAAATGAATAAATATTTACTTAGGAACATCATATTCTACAACATTTTGTTGAGATTTTAATATTTCTCCCACTTTTTGTAATATCATAACTGCATATTTTTTATGCAATTTCTTTTAATCTTTATAGTGATTCATTAATTTCTCACACCTTATAATAATCTATAAAATGTTACCATTCTGGTGTAACTTCACTGATATCATTGTCAATTCTTGGTCCATCATACCCTTATTCAACAATAATATCTTAAATTTCAATTGGCTCACTAGATTCATCTGGTCTTTCTATGGATTTTGCAAATTCTCTTTCATAGATTGCCTATTTGATTTATTTAAGTTTTGCTTAAATATCGGCATCTTTTCCTTATGTAAGTGAGTCAGCCTATGCAAAAATATTAATTTATTACTCTTTTGAACTCTCTTCTAGCATCGTCAAACTTCCCTAATAACAAATAAGCTGAACCTTTTCTATAATATGCCTTAATGAATCCAGAATCATCTTTTAGAATCTCATCAGCATCTATAATAGCCAATCCATAATTTTCCATTTTAATATGTGCAAATGCTCTATTTGATAGACAAACAAGTCTTTGATTACCTAAGAATAAATAACAATTAATAATTACCATTAGCATTTTCAATAGCAGAAGTATAGAATTCAATAGCTTTTTGGAAATTACTCAATTTAAATTATTCATTTCCTAGTTCTTTAAGTTTTTCAGGATCATGTGAATTTGGAATCATTAATTCTAATCTATAATATATAAAAAAAGAGAGAAATATTTAATAATTTGAAACAATCTTGCATTAAATTAACTATAATAATAGGATCTAATTTTGAATAGATAATTTAAATATTAAAAATAAAAAGAAAAAGTTGTCATTTTTATTTTGATAAACTATTTGTAAATTTTTGTTTTAGAATCTAAAGTATAATATATAATTTTGCAAAGACTATTGAGTCTGAAGTAAATAGTATATATTAAATAATAAATAATTGAATATGAATATATATTCTTCAAGTCAATAAGATTAAATTCCATCACCTGATAATTTGAGTTAAATTAGTTGGAGTAAAATCCATTAGAGTAGTGAATAGATTTTGGAAAGGTAATTCATTTGAGAATATGATTTAAAAAAGGTCAAAAAAGATTCAAAAAAGACAACCTCAGGATGTTTAATAGAAATGGTTTTCAATTTAGAAAATATCAAGTTGCAAGTTTGATATTTCTGAAAAGAACGATATAGATTTGAGAGATTAGAAAATTTATGAATTTGATTATCTAAAATTAGATTAAGATCTGTTATCCAAAAAATGTCCAATCATTGTAAATATATACATTAATTAATAGATTGAAGATGTAAGGTCAAAAAAAAAATATCAAATTAAACCAATTTCAATTAAATCTGAAATAATAGAAGTATTTATATAGAGTAGGAATTATTTTAGAAATTATTTAGATTAAACAATAAATTTATACTTACCCCTGAAAATATTTACAGCTATTCAGCATAGACTTAAAAGATTGATGATTTGGCTAAAGAAATAAGTATATATTTTTAATACAATAAAGAAATTTATCACATTTCCTTCTAATTAATATTGTATTAATATTGTCGTAAAACAATTCTTCATTTCTTAGATGAATTGACAAATAAGCAAATAAAAATAATATTCTTAGATCTAATTTAAGGATTGATATCTGCTTAGGATAATTAATTAGTCTTAAAATAAATAACTTTAGATTCTATTTTATACTTTGAAGATTCTAAATCATTTAAATTAAATGATTACACTGATGCAATAATTGGAAATAATAGAATGAATTTTAAAGATTTAGGTTTTTGTTTAGCTTAAATCTTATAATTTAAAAACTATTCTTCAAATCAAATGAAAAAGCCTTAAACAATTAATCAAATTGAATGGTTAAAATTGTAAATTGAGGATCCTTTCTCTTCAATTGCATTATATTTGATTTTGAATGAAAAACCAATAGAAGAAATAATGAATTTATTGTAATAGATTGAATGCTGATCTTCAAAATAAAATATTAGGATATCTCAAATTATAAATATTAATTATGTTTATTTTAACCTAATTTCTATTTGTTTTTTCTTATGAAATTACATGGACTAATTATTCCTTTGCCTTTCCATAGTTTATACCATTAATTGCTGATAAGACAGTTTTTTCAAGAACGTTTGAAGAATTTGGATAGATTTTGTAATCACAATATTTTAATATTTGTAGAAATATATCAATAGAATATAATGGAGACAATCAAGAATAGATTTGTAAATTTGATTATTAATCTATGGAATTTGAGAGATAACCTGAAAGTTTGATAGCCTTGGTAAGTGATATGCAATAGATTGATATTGATGTATTAAAAACAGAAGAAATTTAATAAGGATTTTCAGATGAATTAATTTCATATGCAATATAAAATTGGAGTGTGATTCTATTATAAAAAAATGGAACAATTCATCATATGTATTATAATATTGGTACAAATTTTACAAATTATACATCTCATAAATTATAAATTATTATAGATGCAAATACAAATTAATAGATTTTAGCAGATAAAGATAATTATTATTATGTTGATAATTAATAACTTATAAGATTTAAAATTAAAGATGGAATTTTGGAATAATTTAAAATTCCAAATTGGAATAAAGTAAATGGACATTTCAAAATGTTTATCAAATAAAGTTATCTTTATATAATAAATGGAATTTATGGAATTTGTATTTATGAATTACATAATAATGTTATTATATAAGTGAATAAATTAAATATTGAAGTATATTTAAATTTAATTTAGGAATTTTAAAAAGATAAGAATTTGATTGATTATGCAATAGAAAATGATTGGTTATATTTGTTAGATTATTAAAGTGGAGTCTATCGCTTTAATATTACAACAATGTAATTAGATTAGAAATTCTTTATTGATTATAAGGGATGTAGAATGATATCAATAAAAAATAATTAACTTATATTAATTCAATAGAATCTAATGCATTCAGAAGTTTATGAAGGCATAATTATAGATAATGATTGGATCATGATTAGAAAGTATATGGCTGTAAAACAAAATATTAAGAATATTTAATAATTCAATAATTTTGCTTTATTAATTAGTAATCCAATTAATAATATGTATTAAAAGAATCTATTAGATAATTTTAGTGATCCAAATATTTCTAAAGGGTAATTAATTTATGAATTAATCTAGTACTAATTTTTATTAAATGGAATTTTTGGGAATGAATGAATTGAATGAGAATTATATAGTTGGTATCTATAAATATGGTGTTGCTATTTATTTTACATAAGAAAGACCAGCCAAAATATTTTGTTAAGCTAAATTAAGTTAATAAAATAGAGTTACAGTATATTTTCATATAAATTAATTGGCAGATTCGTCTAAATAGTACAAATTGTCTTAATAAAAATTAATCTGATGTTTTGAATTATTGCCAAAGTAGACTAGATTATGTATTTGATATCCATGGTGTCCTAATGTCTCCATATTAGGAAGATCTATATATATATTTATGCATTATTGCTTTTTCAATAGTTATTGGTCTATTCTTGGCTATATTCTTTGTAATTAGAAGATATCAATTGAAAAAGGAGAAGATTGATCATTTAAGAAAAAGTAGAAGGAGTTTTTCATATTGATTGAAAAATATGGATTCTTGAATTTATTTTATTTTAGCTTATAGAAGGATTTATTATTTATTAAATAATGCAATCAACATATACTTAGAATCAAAGTTCATAAGATTGGAAAACAAAAAAAGTAGATAATTTTGTAGTCGTCAATATGAAATTAGGAAAGGGATAATTTGGAACAGTATATCGTGGACATTATAAGGATGATTAAACAAAATAAGTAGCAATTAAGACTATTCCTATGCATGTAATAATATCTATTTAATTATTTTGTATAGGTTGTGCAAAATAGTGAATAATTGTAGTAACACATTAAAAGAGAGATTTCTATTCTAACAAAAATAGATCATCCTAATATTGTCAAATTGATTCATGTTACAAAGACAACTTCTAATTTGTATATGATTTTAGAATTTTGTAAGGATGGAGATTTGGCTGAATATCTAAATAAAAAATTAGATAAAAGATTATCAGAATTAGAAGCTGTCATCTTCTTTAAACATGTTATAAAAGGATTTGAAATCTTACATTAAGAAAAAGTTATTCATAGAGACATTAAACCTTCAAATATCCTATTGAATGATGGAGTGGCAAAAATTGCTGATTTTGGATTCGCAAGAATTATTGAATCAGAAATAGATAAAATGAATCTTAGCAGAGTAGGTTCTCCTATATATATGGCTCCATAAATTTTGGAAGGTACACATTTTACTTCTAAATGTGATATTTGGTCTATTGGAGTTATGTTTTATGAATTATTATATGGAGTGACTCCTTGGATTGCCAATGGATAATGTGAATTATTAGAAAAGATTACAACTTAACCTCTTTAATTTCCAGAGATTCCTGTTAGAAGTTAAAAAGTTAAGAATTTATTAAAACGTATGTTAACTGTAAATGAAGCTGATCGTATAAATTGGGAAGACTTATTTACAAATGAAATCATTGTAATAGATGAAAATTAAATTCATTACAATATGTAATAAATGGAAAAAGAAAAGGATAGATTAATGAGATCAATAAGTCTTAATAAAATATACATAAATCAAAATTTGATTCTTGGATATATGAAGGATATTAATAAAATTGAAGAAGAATAATCAGATGCTAAATTAGCTGGTTAATAACCTGTTTATAATGATATATTTTAATAATATAATGCTGAATCTGAAGAAGCAAAAACAATTTAAAAATTAAACACTATATGCAAATATGAAAGAAATTTAGCATTTTTTTATAGTTTCCTTATTTAAGGTTTGTTTTCTATGTTATAATAAAAGGTTATGCCTATATCCATTGAATTATGTTTTCAACTTATTTTCTGTATCTCCAAAAATTAACTTATTAAAATGGAAGAACTCTATAGAGAAATAAGTAAATCTCAAAATCCTGAATATGAAATATACATGAGATCTTAAGAATTTAAATAAATGTGTAAACATCTTTAAATGGATATTGATTAAGCTATGAAATTCTTTGTTGAAATTTTAAGAAAATGTTTAAGTCTATAAAATTAAGCCAAATAAATTGTTCTTAATGAATAACCAAAAGAATTTTACTAATAATATTTATGCATTTTAGATAATAATTTGACTTTGACTGATTAATTTTAATAAATTTATTATGGTACTGTGAAATTAGTCTTGGATAAACTAACATCTGAAACTGTAGAATTAATGAAACTAAAGTTTTATTTAAATATCTGTTTGAATCCAAAAGTGATTTTTACAGATTACAATTATGACTTTAGTAGGTTTTATGAAGAAATTCAATATGCAACTATTGAAGATTGGAAAAAAGCCCTTAAAAAGTTCAATTGAAATCAGATATATAATAAATATTAGATTTTCAAATTGTATTTATGATTTAAATTTCTTATCAAAATGTGGGTAATCTAAACATATATCTTTTTCATTAATCATTTTTAAAATTTCTAATTACATAATTCAATTCCTATATCTACTAAAAGGATGTAAAAAAACAAATATATTAAAATGGATTTATTACTATTATTTCTAATTAAAAATAATATATTATGATTCTCTTATAAATTTTATAAGAATTTTTCTTTTAATTTTTTAAATGTAGATTAATTACTTTGATGATAATAATTATTAGGATTAATGTTATTTGGATGTCATTTTGTAACTAATAATAACTTAAGTCAACACCTATAAAGTCTTCAAATTATAACTTGTTACATTACTAAAAAGTAAATTTGTTCAATGATATGCATGTCATATAATGAATTACTATCAATAAATTATATAACATATATAAGCTCAATTGAATTAATTTTTGATAGGATTTCTGATTAAAATAAACTCAACTTGAAGTCTGTATACATTATTGAGAATCAACAGAGGATTTATTACTTTAGAAAAGGAGATTGCTGAATTGAATTGTAATTTTAATTATTAAATATATATATTTACAATAATATTTTACTAGTTAAAATTTCTATCTTATATTGCTGATAAATAATGTGGAGTATATTATTCTAATAACTTAATATTTTTTGGAAATAAAAACAGTAAATCATATGAATAGATTGCTTAAAATAGAAAGAAAGGGTTCTTATTGATAATTATATATGACAAAAATTAATTATAAATATTGAAATTATATATATTTATAATTCTTTAAACATATCAGCATTTTTTAAGAATTTTACACTATTAATTTTTAGGAATTAAGGTGATATAATTAGAATAGAAGAAAACATCTTCTCTAATGGAATTTATTAAGAATTTAGTTAATTTATAAAAAAAAAAGTTTTTTAGATAATGTTATCAAATAATATCAATATTTAATATAAATTTATCGTAGAATTTAGGTTACACTTGTATTTCTATTGATAAATCTAATATATGAAAAAATAATATTATATTCAAATTATAATGAAAATATGTGAGTAAGCTAAGAAATAAGATAAACAATCATCAAAATACTTATTATTTCAAAATTTTCTGATTTATATAAGTAATACTTGTAATAATTCAATTATATATATTATTGTAGAATGAGAGTTCCTAATACATTATAATTACATTACTATTTTAATGATTCATTAATTAAATAAAGTGATTCATGAATTTAATTAAATGAATCTGAATTGCATATTTAAAAATAAAATTTGAAAATCAAAATATTAATATTTAATTGATTTATATGGATAATTGTGTTTAATAAAATTGTGAAGAAAATCAATTGTGTGACAAATAAAATTGTAATTAATAAAAAGATGCTCAATAACAATTAGGTTCCAAAACTAATTGTTGTGAATCTGAAGAGTAAATCAAAAATAATGTAAAACAAAGATATGGAGAAATATGTGAACAAAAACTATCAATAAATTCAGGTTGTTGTAGTACTTCTGGTTGTGGAACAATAGATTATGCTATATTTGCAGAAAAATATTAAAATCTCTAAGGATATATACCAGAAGCTGACTTAGGATTAGGATGTGGAATTCCAACTGAATTTGCAGAGCTTAAAAAAGGAGATGTTGTACTTGATTTAGGTTCAGGAGCTGGAAATGATTGTTTTATAGCAAAAGCATAGGTTGGTGAAAGTGGAAGAGTTATTGGAGTTGATATGACACCTAGTATGATACGAAAAGCTTAATTAAATTCAGATAAATATAATATTAGAAATGTTGAATTTAGATAAGGTGATATTACAGATATACCAGTTTTGGATAATTATGTTGATGTTGTTATAAGTAATTGTGTAATCAATTTGGTACCTGATAAAAGAAAAGTATTTTCAGAAATCCATAGAGTCTTGAAATAAAATGGTCACTTCTCTATAAGTGATGTTCTATCAACTGGAGATTTACCTTTAGCTATAAGATAAGCATAAGAATTGCATATAGGAGGTGTTTCAGGTGCCCTTAGAAAAGATGTATATTTAAAAACTCTTGAAGAATTAGGATTTACTGATATCAAAATTAAAAAAGAAAAAGTTATTGATTTCCCTGAAGAATTGATGTTACAGTATGTATCTAAGGAAGTATTAAATGAATTTGAGAATAGTGGAACCAAAATTTTAAGTGCAACCATTTTTGCAAGAAAAAAATGATTAATTATAAGTTTTATACATTAATAGGATAAGAAATACCTGTAATATATATATAGATTATATAAAAACATATATAAATTAGATTATATGATATTTTTGAATTGAAGAAATCAAACAATTTAAATCATCATTAGTATTTTATTTTATATTATAATTCTAAATCCTTTTATATAATATTATATTTTTGAGCTGCTTTTTTTATTACTTAAACATTATTATCTATGCTTAATATAATATTAAAGAATACAATGTAATATAATTTATAAATAATAGAAATATCTAAATAACAAAAATAGAAAGAATATATTGATAACAATGAATGAAGTAAAATTTAATGTAAGCATAACATGAAAAAACAAATAAATACAAAAGACTAATTATTATATGAATTTATAATATATCTACGATCATAGTGATATCTATTTGTTATTTATTTAATTAAATACCTTATAATTCAACTTTTTTTTCTTACATAGAATGATTATCAGATCTCTTTAACCTGATATTCATTCTAATGATATTATCTCATTCAATTGATTTACATATTCTCATTATTTATAATGAAAGAAATAAATTATAAATTTTCAAAACTTTATAGCACTGAGCTTCATGATAATGATTCAATTACATGATTTTTGATCTAATTAATACATAGACATACTACTTTGAATAAATAAATCATCAACTTTTTAGAAATGACATTTTTTAATTTTAGGAATTTAGAACCACTTTTCTAGAATATAAGATAAAAGCTAGTATATAGTTTTAGTATCTCTATTATGCAATTTCATATATTACTACTCTTCTAAATTTAACTTTCATTAATTCTTCATCCCATTCTACATACCATTCTACATCTCATTCTTGAAAACTTATTTTCTTTAAAAGGTTCTTGATTTTCTTTAAAAATCATTTATAGATTGAATTATATCGATAATCTCATGATTAATGATGATATCTGTATGAATATAAGAATTTAAGTTATGATTTTTAGTAAGTTTGAATGAAAAAATGTAAACACTTAACTAATTATTTTGAATATGAATTTCATGATTCAATGAATTACATTACAAGTTAGAGTTTAAAAAGTCATTAGGAGTGTTAATTTTAATTAATTTCTTTTTTAAATTTGTGGAATCACTATACATAGTATTGTTTTTATCATAAATATAATTAATTATCAGAATTTCTTTGATTGATAGTATAAAGCCTTTTAGGAATTTCATTTTTTCATCAAAAATATAAATTAATGAAAACAGATGTTTAAGCGGAAAATTAAGCTCTTACAAATGGAAATGGAACTAATACATAGCCATAATAAGAACCAATGGTTCCATATTTTGAGCTACTTAGGTATGCAAGTCCAAAAGACAAATTGTTGATGTTTATTGGTGGGTTTGCTGCATTTTGTAATGGAGCTGCATTTCCAAGTTTTTCTATCATCTTTGGTGATATGACAGATTCTTTTTCAGAAGCAGGAGATGAGATGGTTCGTCAAGCAGGATTGAATGCTATGTAAAATATATTAAAAATAAATATAGATATTTCGTTATTGTGGCTGTTGGAACAATGTTAATGTCATTCATAATGTTTGCAACTTGGATGATAACTGGTGAAAATTAAAGTATAGAATTTAGAAAAAGATACTTTACTGCAATTCTTAAATAAGAAATTGGATGGTTTGATACAATAAATCCAAATGAATTGAATAGTAAAGTGGCAAATGAGACCTTTGCAGTGTAGGGAGCCATAGGAGAAAAAGTTCCAACATTTATTATGACATTCTCGATGTCATTCTTTGGCTTCTTAATTGGTTACATTTAGTACATATTATATAATAATAATTTTTTAGTGGTTGGTAATTAGCCTTAGTTGTAACAGCCACTCTACCAGCAATTTCTATAGCTACTGCTATATTTGCAATAATTATCTAAACTTCTGAGAATGCAACTCAAAAAGCATATTCTGATGCTGGAGCATTAGCAGAATAAGCAATTAATGCAATTAAAACAGTGAAAATGTTAGATGGTGAAGATTTTGAAGTTGAAAAATACAAAACTCATCTTCTTTAAGCGACTGCAACAACTATTAGTTATCAATTTGGTGTAGGTATAGCTTTTGGATTTTTATGGGCAGCTATGCTTTGGGCTTATGCTCTTGGTTTTTGGTATGGAGCTAAGTTAATTTCTGATTAAGTATTTAATCTATTAATATTCTATAGACTTTAAATCATAATATGGGAACCGTTTATACAGTAGGAGATGTGATGATTATATTTTTTGCTATTTTGACTGGTGGATTCTCATTAGGTTAAGCTGGTCCTTGTGTATAGAATTTTGCTAAGGGAAGATAAGCAGCTGTTAAAATGTTTGCCATATTAGATAGAAACCCTAAGATTGTTAATCCTATTAATCCAATAAAATTAACATCTTTTAATGGAACCATTTTATTAAAAAATATTTAGTTTAGTTATCCAAACAGACCAGATCAAAAAATATTGAAAGGATTAACCTTAAATATACCTGCTGGTAAGAAAGTAGCTTTAGTAGGAGAGAGTGGTTGTGGTAAATCTACTGTGATGTAATTGATTGAAAGATTCTATGATTGTGAATAAGGAGAAGTATTATTTGGTGGAGCTGATGGAATTAATGTTAAAGATATAGATTTAATTGATTTGAGAAGTAGAATTGGTCTTGTTGGATAAGAACCAGTGTTATTTGCAACAAGTATCAAAGAG